AAGGACACAACGACAGCAGTCATCAGTGGGAATCGTGAAGTAGGTCTTACGGTGGGCTCGAACCCACGACCTTCAGGCTCAAAGAAATGTACATGGGAAATGTATTTGCAATTATTTCCCATCAATTGCAAATACATTCTTTAACCATCAGATTGAGATTGTTTATTTTAAATAGTCCTTAAACCACATTGGAATAAAATGTGGTTTATTAAAACAATAACAATAACAATAATAATAATAATAAATCGGTTTTATATAGCACTTTTCAAAAACTCAAAGACGCTTGACGCTAGAGTAAGTATTATCCTCTTTCGCCTCTAATATTTGAGGTATACCTATGATGAAAATTACAGACTCTAACCTGGCTGACTAAATACGGTTATGTCCTACTGTTTGTGCCTTCTTCAGTAAAACCAACGGAAAAGTTTAAAACACAAAAATATGTGTATATTGAAACAAATTAACAGAAGTGCAGGAAATCCATGCTCAGAAGGACTGACACACACATAGCCTCAGCTTTAAGAAAACTCCCCCAGAAAAAGCATAAAGAGTACTTCTCGGGTTTCACTGGTGCCAGGAATAGGTCTAAAGTAAATATCCAGTGACGTAAACTCTACTTCTCCACCACAAACGCACACAGCTCCAGAAACAAATATGTTGGCTATGTCCATTTTACACTTTCTTTCAAAGATCCAAGTCAAAACTCACTCCAGAATCTACCAAAAACAGCGAGAACAAAGCAACCATCTTTAGCCAACTCATCAGTGTTAGAATTCAAAAGGCTCTGTTCAAAATGCAACTCTACTCTACAAGCAACCTAACCACAACAACCTTGGTAACCATGGCTTCCAGCAGAACTCTGGCCAAACACTACAGAACCAGCTCAGCCTGGATAGAACCAGGGGTAAGAGGGACTAAAGAAGAACCTGGTACTGGTACTCCCAATCAGAGGAGAGTAGAGTAGAGTAGAGAAGATCAGAGTAGAGTACACTTTCTATGCTGCGGTCTGGGTTTCCACAAATGTTTATTTCCTATTATTTTCTCTTAAACAATGTGGGCTTTCTATCTATTCACTGGCGCCTAAAGGGTTAACATTCCCTTAAATAAGTTTGAACTAAAGTTGCCAAAACCAACCCAATCCAACTCAATAATCTGCATAGCAACAAAACCAATACACCAAAAACTCCGCCCAAAAAGCCTCTTTAAACATAGTCCACTTTCTTTTATCCAGCCAGCTCTCAGACAAACAAGGACATATATCCAGAACATGTTAGAGTACGTTTAGCGGTTTCCCACATACGTCACAAAAGTGAACAAAGTAAAGCCTCTCCCCAGTTTAAAAAAAGAAAGGCAGCCTCAAGCGTAGTTTTTGTGGACGGCTAATCTAATCTAAACCTGGAAACAGACGCTAGGACTCCTGGCGCTAGTGGGCTGAGCAATCAAAACAATCTCTCCCTCGTCCCCTGATTGAAGAGCTGAGAAACTCGGCCAAAAGCTGCAACTCGCTTAAAGAAAAACGACTGAAAAGACTTGAGAAGATGCACACGTCTGTAGCAGAACTCCCAGGTCCTAAATCTCTTTGAATCTCACATCAACACAAGTTTAGGTTTTTTTTATTTCTCGATTCACGCTCACAATACAGGAGGAATAAAATGTTATGAACATGTCAAAACCAAAAGTCCAATAGATATAAAAATGAGTAAAAGATTGCTAGATGCATCATATACACACATATACATCATATAACTGCTACCTGAACCCAATCCAGATGGTTTTGGGGTGAGCTGGACCACAGAGTGAAGGCAAAAGGGCCAACAAGTGCTAAGCATCTCTGGGAACTCCTTCAAGACTGTTGGAAGAGCATTTCAGGTCACTACCGCTTGAAACTCATCAAGAGAATGCCAAGAGTGTGTGAAGCAGTAATGAGAGCAAAAGGTGCTACTTTGAAGAACCTAGAGATATTTTCAGTTGTTTCATACTTTTTTTTTTGAGTACGTACATAATTCCACATAGTTAATCCATAGTTTTGATGCCCTCGGTGTGAATCTACAATTCTCATAATCATGAAAATAAAAAAAACTCTTTGTATGAGGTGCATCCAATCTTTTGGTCTGCACTGTTTAAATGCCTGGTCTCTCTGCCCGGTCTCTCTGCCCGGTCTCTCTCCCTGGTCTCTCTCTCTCTGGTCCCTCTCTCTCTCTGGTCCCTCTCTCTCTCTGGTCTCTCTCTCTCTCTGGTCTCTCTCTCTCTCTGGTCTCTCTCTCTCTCTGGTCTCTCTCTCTCTCTGGTCTCTCTCTCTCTCTGGTCTCTCTCTCTCTGGTCTCTCTCTCTCTGGTCTGTGGGAGTTTGTGGAGAAAGTACGTGGGATTTTCCCAAAGCCCTGTGGCCCCAGCCCTTCCCCCACCAAACGCCCACACAGTCAGTCAGGTCCTGTCACAGAGAGCCAGAGCAAAACCACCCAAACTCCAGCGAACGTGGCTATGGTGACGGCTACAACACGGGAAAGCTAGCCGAGTGAAATTGTAAAAAGCCCAACAGAGAGTTGACATTGGTTGTGGGTTGAATCTCGAAAGCCAAGACTAAGAAAGGACTTGATTGCGTGTTCCAGCTATAAAAGCAACAGTAAAGATTGGTTTGGGAAAATAGTATGGTATGTATTTTAAACTGAGAAGTCAGAAATACAGCCCAATGAACTGTGTTAAAAGTAAGTAGTAGTAGTAGTAGTAATCTTTATTTATATACCGCCTTTTCACTGCACATCGGAGTCTCAAAGCGGTTTAAAATTGTGATTTTTGGAATTGGGGGTGCCAGTACAGGAGGCACATGCCTCCTGTACTGGCATGTACTCTCTATTGTACATATTATTAGTGGTAGGGGAAACCGGAGCACCCGGAGGAAACCTACGCAGACACGGGGAGAACATGCAAACTCCACTCAGAAAGGCCCTGGTCCAACCGGGATTCGAACCCAGGACCTTCTTGCTGAGAGGCAAGAGTGCTATCCACTCAGCCACCGTGCCACCCGAAAAGCATTTCTAGGGACGGACATTGCAAATTACCCGTGGCCGTAAAAGTTTCACTTGTTGATTGTGTACACAAATAAATTAATCAATGAAATAAATTCAAAAGTGATGCATGGTTAGGCTTCTAGAGCTATTGTTTCAAATGGTGCTGTCAAACTATTAAAATATTTAATCGTGATTAATTGCAATAATGTCACAGTCAACTCGCAATAAATCACAATTTATTGCATTTTTCTGTCACTTGATTTTGTTTTAAAAGGGATTGTATGAAGCAAAAAGCTTATATTGATCCAATCCCCCCCAAAATAGACAAGTATTGTAATTGTCCAATTAAGGCTGTTGTTTGTATTAAGTTAGTTAAATGTGGATTTATTTTACAGTGTATGTGACTCACGTGCCGTGGAAATAACTATACCTTCAATGATTGGGCTGTGGCCCTTCAGATAGTTGTGGCTTGCAACTTGCATGACACCCGCGTTGGTGTGTATTTACAGTCTATGGTGTGTATGCACGCCGCGAGCATTCTTTGTTTTGTTTCCACTAACTTTGCCCTAACTCTAATTCCGTTACAGGGAGGACCAGAGATTGGGAGGACCAGAGACCGGGAGGACCAGAGACCGGGAGGACCAGAGACTGGGAGGACCAGAGACTGGGAGGACCAGAGATTGGGAGGACCAGAGATTGGGAGGACCAGAGACCGGGAGGACCAGAGACCGGGAGGACCAGAGACCGGGAGGACCAGAGACCGGGAGGACCAGAGACCGGGAGGACCAGAGACCGGGAGGACCAGAGACCGGGAGGACCAGAGACCGGGAGGACCAGAGACCGGGAGGACCAGAGACCGGGAGGACCAGAGATTGGGAGGACCAGAGATTGGGAGGACCAGAGATTGGGAGGACCAGAGATTGGGAGGACCAGAGATTGGGAGGACCAGAGACTGGGAGGACCAGAGACCGGGAGGACCAGAGACTGGGAGGACCAGAGACTGGGAGGACCAGAGACTGGGAGGACCAGAGATTGGGAGGACCAGAGATTGGGAGGACCAGAGACCGGGAGGACCAGAGACCGGGAGGACCAGAGACCGGGAGGACCAGAGACCGGGAGGACCAGAGACCGGGAGGACCAGAGATTGGGAGGACCAGAGATTGGGAGGACCAGAGATTGGGAGGACCAGAGATTGGGAGGACCAGAGACTGGGAGGACCAGAGACCGGGAGGACCAGAGACTGGGAGGACCAGAGACTGGGAGGACCAGAGACCGGGAGGACCAGAGACCGGGAGGACCAGAGACCGGGAGGACCAGAGACCGGGAGGACCAGAGACCGGGAGGACCAGAGACCGGGAGGACCAGAGACCGGGAGGACCAGAGATTGGGAGGACCAGAGACCGGGAGATTTCCAACGGCGTCCGTAGAAAAGTCATTGGATTTTCCTAGAAAGAGCTGCACCCATGTTCCACAGCGGCGATAATGAAAAGTTCTTGATTGGGCTGAAACTCCACTTGGAGGCTCAGTAATGAGGGACTATGATGTGAAATAGAGGCACAGAGAATACTGTCTTTCTCCTTATTTGGCCACAGAGGAACTTGGAAACAGGAGACGAGAGGATGGATCCCATTTTTATCTTTTCTTGTACCTTACGTTCTGTTCTGACATTACACACTGATCTGTTTCTCATGGTACGAACACTCTGAAACTCGCTTGTTCATTACATGTTAAAGTAATGAACAAACAAAAGTATTAACAACCATGTATTATTTTTAGCCTTTAAAATTGATAAAAGACTGCCTAAAAGAATAGCTCATAATTTTGTTCTGATATACAATAGTAGCTCTCCTGAAGGAAAAGACCCCTGTTCTAATGTAATTACAGACTTATGCTTCTCTCATTTAATTATAGTATGTTACTTTGTGAAGAGAGAACATTTAAGTAAAAAAGGTGAAATATTTCTGTGCTGCTGTGTTTTTGTGTTGGGTCGTACCTCGGCCGCCTGGGTCTCCTGGTGCAGCAGGGTTAGCCCTGTGAGGTCTTCCAGGAACGAGTGGGAGGAATTGAAAACGTTGGACAGGAACTGGAAGCCCTCTCTCTCGTAGTGATCCAAGACCTAAACACATGTGGCACTTAGAGAATGTTTTGACCCAAGATAAATTACAGATAAACAGGTTTAAATAAAGCTGTGTACAAAGACTGAGCAGAGCAGAAAGGTCACACAACAACAACCTGCTATAAGAGAGCATTATGGCATCAGTCCTGGATCTAGAACCTCACTCCTGGATCTAGAACCTCACTCCTGGATCTACAGCCTCAGTCCTGGATCTAAACTCTAAACAAGGACACTGAACTTCTGAAACACATTGAGTATGAATATAGAAAGACCCCTGCTGAAATTAGGAAGAAGCGGAACAAATAAACCTGATGATTTGAACATCACAGCAGTATTTAGTACATTTCCTTTTTTTTTCCAAAAGTCAGAATAGTTCATATTTCTGCTGAGGTAAAGCCAAATGTGTCTTAGGGATTCTCGTCATTTTCTTTCAGCTGCCGATCGCGGTACAAGGACAGGAGCAAATATGCACATTGTTGTCAAACATTCTGAAATGTGGAATTTAAAACCCTTTGATCCAACAGAAGGCAGAGAATGTTTTAATTACAGATTCTATCTACAATACTACACTAATGCTGCTTTAGTCGTACCAGTGCTGTGAACTTAGGCTGTAAACCCAGAGAGAGATCAGAGACAGACCAGAGAGGGACCAGAGAGAGACCGGAAGAGAGAGACTAGAGAGAGATAGACCAAAGAGAGAGACCAGAAGGAAAGACCAGAGAGAGAACAGACAGACCAGAGAGAAAGACCAGAGAGAGCGTTATAGTGAGTGTATATATAATTTATGAAGAATATGAACCAGCAGAAGTCCTGCTCTCACTGACTTCTGCTGTCGTTGTATCATTTGGCAAGCACTTAACCCCACTTTGCTTGAAGCCCCAGTAGAAAGCTGAAAGGCTGTGTCTTTGTTAACGAGGGAGCCACCTTCCTGTGGACCCACCACATGCAGGAGCAAGAGGCTGGTGCTTTGAGAATTGGTTGGCAGCTCTGAATCAGTGGCAGAGCATTTAGCTATCAAGCTCCTTTACTGTGGAATCAGCTTCCCATCCACATTAAGGAAGCAGACATGGTCTCTACATTCAAGGCCAGGCTTAAAACACTCTTCTTCAATTTAGCATATGGTTAGGTTGTTTGTCTCGTCCGGTCTTGGAGCCTGCTTGTATGGGACCCGGTCCGCTGCATCTTCAACCCTACGTTCTAGGCTAGGCTAAAACAGTCCTCTTTAGTTTAGCATACGGTCAGGAAGGTATAAGACTAAAATCTGACCTTGAGGCTAAAAATCTTAGACTGTCAGTCAAGCTGCGTAGGGAGTCAGTTTTCTGGGAGAAGTATGGAAACTTGAGCACTATCCTCTCCTCCTTCCTACTTTACCTGTCTGCGTTTTTAGGATTTTGACTATATTCTGTTCATTGCTATTCACCCGTTGTCCCATTGTCTGTTTCATGGCGCGATGACGGGACCTCTGAACCTGGCCTCCTACATCAACACCTTTGGACTGTCCTGCCCGACCCGCCTGGGAGCTGTTTCAGTCCTGCACTGGACCGGTCCACGTTCTGCGGCCTCTGCATGGCCCTGGTCCACGTTCTGTAGCTTAGGTCCTGGATCTACAGCCATGTGGAACGGATCCCGAGGTTTGTCACCTTTTTCCCACTGGGTTTTATTTTTCTTTTGAGTTTTTCCTTGTCGATGCAGAAGGGTCTGTTGGACAGTTATTGTCTAACAAAAAGGACTATGGTGATGATCCAGGACACTTCAACATTCATGTGTTCTGTATTCTTTTTGTGTCTAAACTGTTGATTCTTTGATCTGTGTTGGTAATTTCAATAGTTTTGTTAAGTCCTCTGAGATGACTACTGTTGTGATAAATAACAGTTCACAGCTGCCTCTGTGCTGTATCCATGCTGCTCTAAGGGCCGAGGTGGGGAGAGGGAGAGAGGGGAAAGAAGGGGGAGAGGGGAGAGAAAGGAGAGAGGGGAGAAAATGGGGAGAGGGGATAGAAAGGAGAGAGGGGGAGCTCCAGTTTCATTTATGGGCCACTCGCAGAGAATATACGAGTCAACACTTCCGACTGACGCAGGGCTTTTCCTTCCAAGAAACTATTAAACCTTCAAAGCATGTTCCTCTCCACAGTGACTCACCAGCTCTTGACAAGACAGAAGAAATAATGTCAAATCTTACAGATGACACGATGTAGCATTCAATGACATTTAAGGACATCTATTGACATTTCTCGACATTGGTCATCTGCCCCTTCAGGACCAGGTGTTTTTTATCATTGTATGTCCTGTGTTTGAACAGTTTGATTCTCTGATCTGTTGTTGGCGAATCGACAACATGGTAAAGTCCTCCAAGATAACTAATGAATTGTTATTGTAGCCATTAACCGATAGAAGAGATAAAAGTGTGTATTAAAGATTTTCATAGAGATTTTAAAGATTTTGAAGATTAGAAGTTGCATATTTCACACTTTCTTTTTACAGTCCAACCTAAGCACATGTGTGATAATAATATGAGTGATACACTATACAACACTCAACAATACTCTACACAGATGCTCCTTATCAGTGTCTTTTATCGTGGTAAAAACACCATGTTTCAAGATCAGCTTTTGAGTCCTGTAGTAACTATAGTTCTGGAACAGTCTTTGGTGAAGTGCCACTTGCAGATGAACAAATTCCTCACAGATTTCAAAGACAAGTCCTTGTGAATAGAAATTGCAGCTACATTTGCCGCATTCTTAGTCTTCAGGCCTAATAGCGTCATCTAATATTTACACCCAAAAACATATTTTCAGTTCATATGATGCTAACACTTTTTGTCGCTGACAAAAGCAGAAACAGCATAGAAGCGAACACAGAGTGTGGGAGACACAGGACCATACGCTGGGAAAGGCTGTGCGCGCTGATTAGCCGTTTCAATTTCTCTCTCCTGTCAATCACCTCTTGGAGGCGGGCTTCTGGAGATTGTGCCACATAAGAGAGTGATGCTACGTAACAAAGAGAATAGAGTGGTTTTGCTGCCTCTCAAGAATTAAAGAGAAATATTTAAAAAAATAGGTTTAAAAGTGTCATATGGGACCTTTAATGATGGATTAGAGCCTCAGTCCTGGATCTACAGCCTCAGTGAAGGCATTTGATTGGCCTGTGATAGTGGTTTTACAGATACTATCACAATATAAACACCAGTATCCCAGAAAGAAAACACAGATTTAAGCCCAAAATAGTGAGTGTGACGCAAATGGTTACTGAGCAAGAAGTTTACGTTTGCATGTAAGTCAGTAGTTGCCAGAGAGAGTTGGAGCCAAACTTCACCATTATTTTTTCATTAGCCCAATTGAGGCTTCACATCAACTTGTAGGCACTTCTTCATTATTCCCAAAGCCACATCTATCCACTGATTCCTCTTATGAGCCTTTTTCTGGGATAGACTGCAATAAAAGTGTGTTTATGGCTCACTCACTCTCCAGACTTGCTGCTATTAAAAGAGCGTCCATATTTGTCGGCTGTAACTGTAGAGAGAGGTGTCTGGCCTGGTTTAAAACAAAGCCACGTCAGCTGTGATTTACTCTGTGGTTTCTGCTTTTATTGGCCTCAAACAGTGACACAACAGTTCTGTGGTCTCTTGTTTCTTCCACTGTGGAGTTCTGCTCTTTTCTGCTCTCTTCTACTCTCCCCTGGCCCTGTTTAACTAGTACCAGGTTCTTATTTAGTCCCTCTTGGCCCTGGTTCTATCCAGGCCGAGCTGGTACTGTTTTTTGTGCGTAGGTTGTTAGGATACAGTACCAGATACAACCAGGTAGAGCCGAGTTGAGTATAAGGGTATATTTGACACACAAATACACGCACGCAAAAACAGTGTTATACTACAGGTACTGAAATGGTGATTATGTCTGTGCAATAGAGATTATGTCTACATGACTCTGATGGACAAAGTTGACGACTGCTCTTTTTGAAAATGTAGTTTAAAGTTGAGGTACCTCAACACTTGCTCCTATCGCAAGTTCTCTCATCATGTATTCCTGGCCTCTGTCACATTTTTTAGATCAACTTTTTCAGACAGAAAAGTGAAAAAATAAAGGACAAACCTCACTTGTTCTTAGTAACTTCTTAGTTCTCAAACTAAGTTCAATAAAGTTTCAAAGTTTCTCTCTTTCTTTCTCTGGTGTCAAATAGTGACTCAAATAGTGACTCACAGGGTTATTTTTTAGTATGCAAAAGATAACATGTTTGCGAATGAGTTGAATGAACATAGTCTGTAGTGGTCTGATATTATTTTACTGGACTCTATTGAAACAAAGGGGACATGTAAGTCAGGTACCCCAGCTTTAAAGACATGTTTTTATATTCCAATTATAATTTGAAAAAACGTATTACAATATGCAATAGTAGCGAGCTCGGCCCACAACAAACCTAATGAGTTCTGGAGGAGATCCTTCTAGTTCTCATGGAAATGTTCTTCCGTCATATCACTAGAACTTATTTATTTCTACACATTATTCATGAATGTATTAAACGTACTGGGGCCTCCAACACTACTCTGATGTACACTGTTTTTTGCAAGATTCTGTATTACTGTATACACGTGGTATGTTGGTCAGATGGGGAGACGGGGAGATGGACGTTCAAATACAGAATTCTCCAAAGAATTCAACACAAAATACTTCCTGCCCTCTCCTGCGTCACACAATGCTCTGAAAAATAAGAAACAACTTTTCTTCTGTTTGGACTTGTTTCAAACTCCATGATCTCTGTGTGAGCTCCATAATCTTGTGGGTCACGGCCTGAAACATGAAACATGACACCACGGGACTGGGAGGAGCTCAGGGAGGAGGTGTGGGCGGAGGACTCTGCAAACTTAAAGAGACAAGACCTGAACATAACATATTATTTTACAATGAAAATCTGAGCGGGATTCAAATGTTCAAGTTACTCACCAAAGCCCCTACTCTACTCTCCTTTTTCTCCATCTCCTTCTCTGCTCTCATTCCTGTCCTCTCCTCTACTCTATCTCCTTCCTCTTTTACTTCTCCTCCCTCTCATCTCTTCACACTGGAGTGGCAGAGAGTCTTTATGGCCTTGTCGTGATGAACACAAAGACTCCATTGAGATCAGAGACACAGACGACCCCCCTCCTCCCCTCTCCCAACCATTACAACAAACTGTGGTGAAGCTAGAAATGTAAGCTATCAGAGTCATTTTCAAAGTTTAGAACATGGAAAAGCTTGTGAATATACTACTACTAACAGACTGTGTACAGATGGACAATGCTAACCCGCTAGCTCAATGGTAACCTGCTAGCTCAATGTATTTTAGTTATTTTCAGCTCCTACTAAACGTGAAATAGAAACTCCAGTCAAAATAATTGACTGGATATTTGTGAAACAGCAGTAAGTAAGTAAGGTAGTAGGCGTTACAGCACATACGCGTTGTTGCGCAGCATACACATTATTGGCGCGAGGTTCCGCCTAATAAAGCGTATACGTGGCCAACACTCTCTCTCTGACTGATTCTATTTTGTATGATTTATTTGTTTTTTAAACCGAATTTGAAACTATAATAATATTGTTTTTGCCCCAACAGAAAGAATCGTACCATTTTGGGAACCAGTCTCTGAATCAGTTGTTTGTTATTGTGCTTTATAGTTGGTTTTTTTTCTTGCTTTTTTCTACCAGAAATGTTGCTGCAGTACAGTGTTCATGGTCTCATTGTCCGAAACAAATGGTCTTTGCTGCTACTGGACACCTGAACTCTCTCTGGTCTCTTGCTTTCTTTCTAGTCTCTCGCTTTCTCTCTCCCTCTCTGGTCTCTCTCTCTCTGGTCTCTCTCTTTCTCTCTCTCTCTGGTCTCTGTCTTCATTTTTTGTTGTGTAAAAGTTAGGAACCCCAGCTTTATAGTTGTATCTGAATTGTTGTTTGATCTGTTTTTGATCTTGTGAAACCCTTAGAATTCCCTTCTACATAGATTGTACTGTTTCAATAAATGTTGATACACATTCTGAGAAAGAGTGCACTCACGATGGGCGAGCAAGCGGTGCACTTGTCGAAGGCCAAACTCGCCGGGAGAACGTTGTCGAATCTGGAGAGAAAGCCTCGAATCTGCAAAAAAAAACACATTATTTTAACACAATCAATTACTGATCAAACGAAAACAGGTTCACACACAGCGACACAGAGGCAAACAACACGCTCATCCCTCATTAACACCACAACTATAAAGTCACTTTGAATAGCGTATCAATCAAGTGGAATTACAGCTTATGTAAATGTGTCTACATAACTTAATAAGAAGCAAGTAATCTTATCTGCGCCTAAAATTTATCTATGTGTCATAATTTCTTATAGAATTATCTTTTTCAAATGTGAAACTGAACAGCAGTCATTTGGACAGCTACATTCATTTAAATATAAACTTCAAATGTAGCCTATTCAAATGCAATCAAAATGTGCTGGTCTAGGACTAGTACTGAACTGGGTCTGGACTGGTTTAGAGGAATCTTGGAGCGAGTAGTTACCATAGCATAAAACTACTTTCTTGGAGCAGCATTTAGTCTTTACAACAAACTGTTTATGCTATGTCTCAGTTATATTCACCAGTATACAAATAAACTTTAAAAAAAATGTTTTAATAAAATAGTAATGTCACAACAAGGCAACATTACTTCCAGCTGTATGTGTGTATTTGCTTAGAGGCAGAACACAAGTAGGTAAAGCTCTCCCTCTGCTGGTGAAATGCAAGTAGTACAAGATGCAGGAGGGTCTGTTGGGCAGTTAGCGTCCAACTAGAAGGACTGTGGTGACGATCCAGGACACTTTGACATTCTACAACATGTATGGACATTTTTCAACATGTGTTCTATAATCTTCATGCGTTTTAACTGTTGATTCTCTGATCTGTGTTGGTGATTTCAATGGTTTTGTTAAGTACTCTGAGATGACTTCAATTATGATTTAGGGCTATACAAGAATAAATTGTATTGTATTGTAATTTTCTCAGAAATGGTGATCAATTCCTAATTCTCTGAAAACAGCTGATATTAAGCATAAACAGCTCCACACACAACACTTTTCCGGATGATTTAACTCGAGTATTGTTCTTTAGAGTTCAAACATTTGTGCAGCAAGGTGAAGTTAAGGTCAGTCTCTAGCTGAGAGTTGATTGGCTTAGTGAGTGTTGTCTTCTCTGGTCCTTCTCTCTCTGGTTTCCTCTCTCTCATCCCTCTCTCTCATCCCTCTCTCGCTGTGGTCTCACTCTAAATTCTCTGAGGCAGAACAAAATTAGACAAAGCTTGCCATTTGGTGGTGAATGGAAAGCATTGCAATATTCTAGCAATTCCTCTTGCTCAGAAAACAGCTGATATTTCGACAAAAACAGCTTCATTCACATCACACTTGATTCAACATCAGAACAGAAAGACCAAAGTCAAAGTCAGGCTTCAGCTTTTGGGTTAGATCCTTTGGAACCACAGACTTAAGCAGCTCCTCTTTTATCAACACATCTGCAAGTTATTCAGTCAAATATAATGGATTTCTGTGTGAGGAAAGTGGAGCAAACAGGAAGTGTGTCTGAGGTGAGGTCATGATTCAGCAACAGGAGAAAAGTTAGAAGAAGAGTGGGAGGAAAGCTGCTTCTTTATGGATTTAGTGAGAATGATGGTTGTTATGATTAATTTCCGTATGATCGAGATTAAACACTGTGACTAATAGTTGTAAAGTATATTCAGGGTTGGGCAGAATACTTTGAAAATGTATTCCGTTCCAGAAGACTGAATACATGACCTGTAATGTATGTTGTATATTATTCCCTTACTTTGGAAAAAGTAGTACCGGAATACTTTTAATTATACTTTAAATTATTATTTTTGTATTATTTATACAGTGGGGCAAAAAAGTATTTAGTCAGCCACCGATTGTGCAAGTTCTCCCACTTATGACAGAGGTCTGTAATTTTCATCATAGGTACGCTTCAACTGTGAGAGACAGAATGTGAAAAATAAGTATTTGGTCAATAACAAAAATTCAACTCAATACTTTGTAATATAACCTTTGTTGGCAATAACAGAGGTCAAACGATTACTATAGGTCTTTACCAGGTTTGCACACACAGTAGCTGGTATTTTGGCCCATTCCTCCATGCAGATCTTCTCGAGAGCAGTGATGTTTTGGGGCTGTCGCCGAGCAACACAGATTTTCAATGGGGTTGAGGTCTGGAGACTGGCTAGGCCACTCCAGGACTTTCAAATGCTTCTTACGGAGCCACTCCTTCGTTGCCCGGGCGGTGTGCTTGGGATCATTGTCATGCTGGAAGACCCAGCCACGTTTCATCTTCAAAGCTCTCACTGATGGAAGGAGGTTTTGGCTCAAAATCTCACAATACATGGCCCCATTCATTCTTTCCTTAACACGGATGAGTCGTCCTGTCCCCTTAGCAGAAAAATAGCCCCAAAGCATGACGTTTCCACCCCCATGCTTCACAGTAGGTATGGTGTTCTTTGGCTGCAACTCTGTATTCTTCTTCCTCCAAACACGACGAGTTGAGTTTATACCAAACAGTTCTACTTTGGTTTCATCTGACCACATGACATTCTCCCAATCCTCTGCTGTATCATCCATTTGCTCTCTGGCAAACTTCAGACGGGCCTGGACATGCACTGGCTTCAGCAGGGGGACACGTCTGGCACTGCAGGATTTGATTCCCTGTCGTCGTAGTGTGTTACTGATGGTAACCTTTGTTACTTTGGACCCAGCTCTCTGCAGGTCATTCACCAGGTCCCCCCGTGTGGTTCTGGGATTTTTGATCACCGTTTTTGATCACCACACGAGATGAGATCTTGCGTGGAGCCCCAGATCGAGGGAGATTATCAGTGGTCTTGTATGTCTTCCATTTTCTGATAATTGCTCCCACAGTTGATTTGTTCACACCAAGCTACTTGCCTATTGTAGATTCACTCTTCCCAGTCTGGTGCAGGTCTACAATTCTTTTCCTGGTGTCCTTCGACAGCTCTTTGGTCTTGGCCATAGTGGAGTTTGGAGTCTGACTGTTTGAGGCTGTGGACAGGTGTCTTTTATACAGATAACGAGTTCAAACAGGTGCCATTAATACAGGTAACGAGTGGAGGACAGGTCTAGGAGAGCCAGAGATCTTCCTTGTTTGAAGTGAGCAAATACTTATTTTCTACCATAATTTACAAATAAATTCTTTAAAAATCCTACAATGTGAATTCCTGGATTTTTTTTTCACATTTTGTCTCTCACAGTTGAAGTGTACCTATGATGAAAATTACAGACCTCTGTCATTATTTTAACGGGGAGAACTGGCACAATCGGTGGCTGACTAAATACTTTTTAGCCCCACTGTATTTATTGTAACAAAGGTGTATTCAAATAAATAAAACATGTTCTGTAATCTGTTGTTTATTTTTGTAAAACAAGTGCTTCTACACTTTCCATTCAACCAGAAAAAATAGAATCTTCACTTTAAGAATACTCAATGTTTTCTGTTCGCTTTTGTATGAGAACGATCCCTGTGAACTGTTTTGGGAGTAAGACAAAAGTAATGTGATTACTGTAATGTATGTATTTTGCTGTAACATTGACTTAGATGGAGTCAGGGTGGTCCTCTCTTTTCTGATTAAAAGATGTGACAGTGGCCAAAATATGCATGCATGAAAAAACTAGTGATGAAAACTCTCTAGTCACTCACTCTCTCTGGCCACTCACTCTCTCTGGCCACTCACTCTCTCTGGTCACTCACTCTCTCTGGTCACTCACTCTCTCTGGCCACTCACTCTCTCTGGTCACTCACTCTCTCTGGTCACTCACTCTCTCTGGCCACTCACTCTCTCTGGCCACTCACTCTCTCTGGCCACTCACTCTCTCTGGCCACTCACTCTCTCTGGTCACTCACTCTCTCTGGTCACTCACTCTCTCTGGCCACTCACTCTCTCTGGCCACTCACTCTCTCTGGCCACTCACTCTCTCTGGCCACTCACTCTCTGATCACTCACTCTGGTAAAGCTGATCCAAAGATGAGACAAAAATTGATGCATGAGAAAACCAGTGATGGAACAAAAGGCAAAAAGCCACAGCTGCCGTATGTCAGACTGACCCCACAACGACCAATCCCTCACTCACCAGATTTAAATTGTGGTTTGTTATGGGTTGCTCTAACTTCAGCAGGACCTGTCCCTCAGCAGGACCTGTTCCTCAGCAGGATCTCAACTATGGCTCTCCCACATTTGCATAACCGTTATGCAACTGTTATATTTTACTTGTCTGAAAATGTCAGATCGTAGACATGGTTAATTTCACTGTGTGAGAGTGAGGTCTGTGTAGAACCTGTGGTAGACCCTACATTAGCACAGGGACTGGCCTTTTGCAGGTGTCCAGTGTCAGGACTAAACATGGGGAGGCAGGGTTTCAGATTTACCCAACTAAATTGTCAAACGGTCTTTTCTGAACACGTGAAACAAGCTCCTACTCTGACAATGTTCAAATCCAAGTTAAAAAAAAAGAGAAAAAAAAGTTCTGTTTCGCTGCAGCATTGTATTTTCACTTTTTTTAAATTAACTGTGATTATTTCTGATTTGAATGCCTTGTACAATTATCTTAATCTTGTTTTATTCAGCACCTTGAGTTGCCATGTGTAAACTGTGCTATACAGTACAAATAAACTTGCCATGTAAAAAGAAAGTAGTTGGATACATGACCATACATTACATACATTATGAGACGAAAATTACTATTCTTCACTGTTCTGTCAGGGCATCATTAGTCTATTGTGCTATCCTCTCTCTCCTCTTCGAGCTCTCTTTCTCAGACACACACACAGACACAGAAACACACACACTCAGGGGGCGGTGAACGCTGATGAAGACGATGATGATGCAAAAGTGACAAAATATGGAGAGTGTGAAAGTTACCATCAGAGCAGTGAACTGAGCAGCTGCCCCTCACACAGCCCAGTGCTTCCCAACCTGCGCTGTGGACGCTTGTCATATACCAGTATGTTGTGTGATTACCTTTTGGCGTTGTGGATAGAGCGCAATGGTTTATTGCAATGTTTTAAAAATAACCCACAATAAGAAGTCCTTGAAGGAGCAGCTCTCCTAACCCCTCTTCAGAAAGAGACCACAGAGAGAGACCAGAGCAAGACCAGAGAGAGAGAAAAGAGAGAAATACCAGAGAGAGAGACTAGAGAAAGGGACCAGAGAGAGAGAGTGCTCTGAATGAATCACCGCGGTGCACGCCACAGAGTATATTACACATTCCGGTGAGTACACAGCAGTTCTCCATCTGTACAGGGCCTAAATCGTACCCTTAATGCTTCAGTCCCATTGGATCTTCATGGGACCTGGTTTAGTCCTGTTCAGATTTGACTATTCCCAGTAATCCTTACATACTATTCCTCATAGTCCTCTTAATTCTGCTGCAGTGTTCACTTTGAGGTGTGCAGTCGACACTTCCAGGATTTATACAGATAACAGTGTGTAATTATCGCTTTAGTGCCAGTTAAAAGCCTAGTTTATCTCCGCTCAAAGACGACAGGACAGGAGCTACAACTGTGACGGTGACCAGGCGAGAAGTCTGACATAAGGGTACAGACATTTATACAACACTAAAGCACTGATCATCAACAGGCGGCCCGCGGGCAAACGAGGCCCATTGAGCTGTTCGAGCCGTCCTTCCTTATTTTCTCTGGCACTCTCCTGTTTTGTAACATTTTTGTGTTTTTTTTTTTTTGGAAAGCCATGTTCCAGCTTCTTCCCTCTGGCAGAACATATCGTTGGCTGAGATGCAGGACATCTCGTCTTCAACAGCTTCTTTCCAAACGCTGTTTAAACAGAGCACTTTAATGATCTTCACCTGTGTAGAAACTGTTTTAGTTGATTGATTTCCTGTTTTGTTTGCTTTATTTCTGTACGGTGGCACGGTGGCTGAGTGGATAGCACTCTCGCCTCTCAGCAAGAAGGTCCTGGGTTCGAATCCCGGCCGGACCAGGGCCTTTCTGAGTAGAGTTTGCATGTTCTCCCCGTGTCTGCGTAGGTTTCCTCCGGGTACTCTGGTTTCCCCTACCACTAAAAATATGTCCAATAGGTCTGGCATGCGCCTCCTGTTCGGCGACCCCGCTCCCATCTCTGTGTGGAGTGAGAGGACAAGTGCCCAAAAAAATATCAATTGTAAACCGCTTTGTGACTCTGGTCTGTGAAAGGCGGTATATAAATAAAGCTTACTCACTTACTTACTTTTTACCTTGATTTATTTTGTATTTGTCTTGTGCAAACTGGGGACGAGACAAGTACAGGATGTATTCCAATGGGGTTTTACTGCAAATGGGCAATAAATGAATCTGAATCTGATTTAATTTTCTCTTTGGGGGTCCGGCCTCGGAGCAGACTGTCTGGTAAAACTTTGGCCCTTTGACAAATATCAAAAAGTCTCTATCTGGTGTCTCTCTGGTCCTCCAGTCTCTCTCACCAGTTTTTCTTCTGGTCTCTCTCTCTGGTCTCTCTCTCTGGTCTCTCTCTCTGGTCTCTCTCTCTGGTCTCTCTCTCTGGTCTCTCTCTCTGGTCTCTCTCTCTGGTCTCTCTCTCTGGTCTCTCTCTCTGGTCTCTCTCTCTGGTCTCTCTCTGGTCTCTCTCTGGTCTCTCTCTGGTCTCTCTCTGGTGTCTCTTTCTGGTTTGCTTGTGCTCAGTCTCACATCCTTGCACCCTGACCATTGTCCCGCTCCTCGTGCCAAATATAAAAACATAAAAGCATTTCCATTTCTGTTCAGTGTAATTATCCCAGAATCTGAATGCGTCAATACGATAAGTGAGATTAGCGTCTGACCTGATGTGGCACCAAGCCGAGGGAGGTGGGCGGCTCATTCATCCTGTCGTCACTGCTGCTGGCCACGGCATATCCACTGCAACAGAAACACTACTCACCACTCAAATTCATCAATCACAAATACAGTCGTTTATTGCACGGGTCAATAAATGTGTTCCTAATAACCTACAATAAGTGAGGTCCTTGAAGTAGCAGATGAATGTTTTAAGGCTGTAAAATCCCTCTCCAGGTAGAGACCAGAGATAGAGAGAGACCAAAGAGACACTACAAAAGAGACCAGAGAAAGACATCAGAGAGAATCGAGAAAGAGAGACCGAAGAGAGAGACCAGAGAGCACCAGAGACATACCGGAGTCATATTAGAAAGAGACTGGAAAGAGACCAGAGTCCCTTGAGAGAGACCAGAGAGAGCGAGAGAGGCGAGAGAGACCAGGGAGAGAGAGAGAGATAAATATATTATAAATGTTCTCAGCTTTACCCCATCTAAAGTTTCACCTGTTTCATATAATCATGTTGCAACAATAATTACAACTTTAGTTGGTTCTTTTGGTTCTTTTCCTTCACACTTCCTCTAAACGTGCGATGTCCAACTCAGCATGAGACCACTCTCAGTCCACCAGCTTTGCTCATTAAATACACTGTTCTGCTCAAAGACACTAATATTGCCATGGGAACTTGTGGCTCGAGCCTTAAGTGCAAATATGTGACGGGGAAAGAAAGCTGTGATTGAAAGAGCTGCTTTCAGGCTTTTATTTCAATTTGAAATTATTATTTGTTTGAAATCAGAGCGCATCAGTCTGGCAGGTGAGAGAAGTAAGAGAATGTTGGACCACTGGATATAGGCAAGGATCCAGTGTTTCCATTACTCTTGAGAATCTGGTACCACATCCAAGCAACCTACCCACAACAAATCCTTATCTAGACAAGATCCTTGGTAACCATGGCTTCCAGCAGCACTCTAGCCAATTATTGTCATTTAGAATACCAGCTCGGCCTGGATAGAAACAGTGCAAGGGTGACTAAAGACGACCTGGTACTGGTTAAACAGCGCCAGTGGACACACTCCCCATCAGGGGAGAGTAGAGGAGAGTATTTTATGCCGCTTTTCCAAAGTATCTGTACGGTACGGTACGGTACGGTACGGTACGGCACGTTACGGTTATTTTGCATTTCCACTAGGGTTGAGCTTGGCATCAGGGTACTTTTTTTGTACCACCTTGACAGTGGTTCCAAGCGTGCCGAAGCTACACCATAACGTGACGTCAGCCGACTGCCTTACACTGATTGGTCAACGAGTGTCGTCAATGAAAGCAACGTCCGACCCTATGGTAAAAAAACCCTCAACCCCGCCATCTTTAAAAACGGCTGCTCTGCTCTGGATCTATAATAGGCTGTAACACGTCCTCCTCACTCGAGAGAAATGGAATCGCACAGAAAGCCCCAAAAGTCAACGTCCTGGTCGGTCGACGAGGTCTAGGCTCTCTTTAGGCTGAAGAAAGAATTCAAAGGCAGATCGATGGCTCAACACGGAATGAGTCGGTTTTCAGGGAGATTGCCCAGCTTTTGATTTGTGACTAGACTTTGGTAATCCTGGAAATAACTGGTTAGCTACGTATCGCGTTGGCCCAAAGCTTTCACTGAAATGTATTTACTCGTATAAATGTTGATTGTCTGTTGTACACAGTGAGCTAGCTACATTTAACTATCGATAGCAGCTAAGCTAAAACGTCCTTCTAGAGTGCTGTATTTTGCTCTTTCACGTGTTTCTTTTTTGTGCTTGTACTTAAGTTGTCGTGTGTATATTTATTTGTTTGAGAATCCCTTCCCACAAGTGAGGAGATTACCAATGAGCAATGAATGACCACTCACCTGGTCTCAAGAGAATACGTACTTTGGACTTTGTAAATTGTTGGTTTTGGACTTTACTTTTGTTTTTAATAGATCTGAGACTTTATTTCATTCATTTGTCTGTACACGTGCGTATATTTACATTACATGCATTATATTTGTCAGTAAATCCGTGTAACCTTGGTAAATTTAATTTTTACTTCTTCTGACTCCTTTTTTGAGTTGATTTACAATATACATTTATTTTGAATAACCAAGTTATGTAAGGAACTCAAAATAAAAACATTTCATTTCAAATTACAAAAAGTGACACATCAGACCAATGTTACTAGTTACGCGTCACGCGTAAATTAAAGACCTTATGACGGGTTTTAAAAAAAAAAAATAGTGGATATCAAAATTGCATGACAATGTCAATTTGAAATAGATTCCGGCAAAAAAAATCCTATATTTTATAAAAAGAACGTGTTTTTCATGAATTTAAGTTGTCTATGCTCTAACCTGTGTGTGACGTCATAGCGGGTTACGCCCATGCATTGAAAACCATGGATCTATGCCACAGGACTGCCTTTTCTCTCTTCTCTCCACTGATGCCCAACACAATACTACCCTCTACAGGTGACAATTGCTCACTACACATAAATTGCCGTTTTGAGTGTGAAAAAGTGTCCTAGGTGGGATTTGAACCTAAGTGTCTGGATTGGCAGTCCAACGACACAACCACTGGACTATCTCAGTGACAACGAAAATGATACATTCTAGTAGTTATCTTAGACTCGCTGTACACGGCCTTGTCATCTTGAATATCCGCGAAAAAAGAACGAATACCAAATTGTAAACAACTTACAGCATTGAAACGTACCCGTTCTGACGTCACCAAGGGCTGTGAAGTTTTTTCGTTTCTAAGGGCGTTGCTATTTGGGGGGTTCAGACAAAATATAATAATAAAATCTTCTAATATAAAATGGTATTAAAACTGTATTTCTAAGTAAATCAAACCCGTCATAAGGTCTTTAAGTGGTCTGACAACCCCTCCCACTCTTGGAGGTACCATTTTTAATGGAAAAGCACCCACACTCGGCCGAGCCTTGCCGTATCGTGCCATACCGTGACTATTAGAGTAGTGTAGAGTAGAGTTCATGTTTTGAGACCTACCCTTCGCTGTGCTGTAGTATGGACACCATCATCTCCACGGCTAGAGCTCCAGCGATCATGGCAAGTCCCGGACGGCTCACGGTGCACTGCTGGTCCAGGGTGCGGTCCCTCGTTGACTGCAGACACACACCAGGAGGCATGCTCACACAGCATAACAATACAGAGTATGCCCAAAGAGTAGGCTCCCATTGATGTTGGTATACAAACTCTGGTCCTGGTCTACACGCTCTGGGTCTAGTCTACATGCTCTGATCCTGGCAAGCTCATGATCAGAGACGAGAGTCTCTCGCTCTACACGGTATTTAAGAAAGAAAATGAATGCTTGTGTCTGTGACCAGTTGCTTGTGCTGCATCCAATGACAATTTTAGATTTTATTTGATTCAGACAGAAGCAAAAAGACATTTAGGAGGAGACAAATTTAACAAAAGGCTCCAAATGACTTTCATACAACCACTGGCGGAGATTTAGAGAAAAAGATCAGAGGAGAGAACCAGACAGCACTTAAATCAATGTAATTTTCAGCTTCAGTCCTGGATCTACATCCTCAGTCCCGGGCCTCCTCCCTGAGGGTATCACTTTTTTCCCCCAAATGTGTTTCTGAGTGGTTCCTTGCCGACGTAGCAGGGTCTAGGGATAGCGATGGATCCAGGAAATGCAGATGCAAATATATTGACATTTATTTGAAGCGGGATAACCACTGGCTCCTATGTGTCCTAGGTGTTTGTTATTATTGAATTTCCTGTGTTGGAACTAGTGGACTCTCTGATCGTTTGTTTGGGAATCCACAACTTTGTAGAGTCGTCTGAGACGACTGCTGGTGTTATTTAGGGTGATACACATATACATTGTACTCAAACGCAAACTCGTAGTGGGACATGAGGACAGAAGGACTCACCTTCCCATCAGCGACAGTTAGGAGTTGGTTTAGGATATTTTCCGCCCACACTCTGTAAATATCCTGTTTTACATCAGCGTTACAGTCGTTCCAAAGTCAACTCCAAAGAGCTGAGCTGACCTCTGAAGCAGCGGACAACATGACGCTCCCACACAAACTCATTAGCATAACATTTAGTGCATGTCACTATTTGAACCTTTTCACCAGAAAAAAATATATTTAAAAACAAAAATATAATCTCCTGCTGCAGTGATCCAAACTTATCTCCCACAATCTCCAACTAACACAGCTGTGTGGTTCACCAGTGACTTCATTACTGCCTTTCCCAATGTTGAGGCACCAGAGGGATGTTCTGCAGTCACAGTTACAAAAACTAGCATGCTAACAGGGAACTTCACTATCTTATGTACTGTATGAATAGTTAGATGCAGACACAGCAGTCGAATACAATACATAAGGGCAAACACTATTTTGTGTGTGTGTGTGTGTGTGTGTGTGTGTGTGTGTGTGTGTCTCTGTGTGTGTGTATGTACTCACATCTCCCGGAGCTACGACATCGTTGCAGAAGTAGCAGCCAAGTTTGTGTCCGGGGATGTTTGAGAAGAGGGAGGAGCCTGGAGTAGAGGGGGTGTGGCCTGGAGCAGAGGGGGCAGAGCCTGTAGCGGACGGGGCCGAGCTTGGAGTGGATGCACAGGAAGTGGCGGAGGAGGAGCAGGAAGTGGAGGAGACGCTGTTGGTGACGGACTTCAGACCATGACGCATCACCACGAACGTGTCGAAGCCGAGAGCAGCGTTTATAACCAGCTAAAACCACAACATGACGTGACGTCACCACAGTGTGATATCAACACAGACTGTACATGAGGAGTGTGACATCACCATAGTGTTAGATAGATAGATAGATACTTTATTGATCCCCGTTGGAGAAATTCAGGTGTCCAGTAGCAGCAAAAATAAAAAATAAAATGTATCATTCAAAAAAGCTAACAATAGTAATAATCAGCAACAGCCCTTCAGGTCACAGCTGCAGAGGTGGAGTAGCCACTGGGTGGAGCAGGACGGTTCACAGCAGCAGATGCGGAGTTGCCTCTGGGTGGAGCAGCCAGAAGAGACTGATTTGAATATAAGCTAACTGGAGCCAGTTTCCTTATACAGTATGGACTTTGTTCTGAGGTAACTGGATCTACAGCCTCAGTCCTGGATCTATAGCCTCAGTCCTGGATCCACAGCCTCAGTCCTGGATCCACAGCCTCAGTCCTGGATCTGCTCTGACCCCTAGATTACTGAATCGTTGAGGAGGTGGCTAAAACACAATAGCTTCCATCTTTCATTTTTATCGGACATCCAGGCATTGACTTTGGCAAGAAACCAATAAAGTCTTGCCAATAAACTCGTGGTCATAAAATATCTATTACGCTTTATTCTAAAAACAGCAAGGACAATAGAACAGCACCTTCACCAACTTTCCAATAAATTTAGTCAAAACAAACGTAGAGAGATAAATCTGAATAGAACAATTTATGTGGTGTGAGGCGGCAGAGGATTACAAATGGCCACATTAGAGCTGAACTGGAACAAAGCATGAGGTTAACTGAATTACAAGTGGGAGAACTTTCGTCGTTTTAGTGAAAGAAGTGATGCTGCTGAAACCAAAGTGCTGAGCAGAGAGTGTGTTGGTGCGATGGGAATTATGAGTTTCTGGAGTGCTGGAAAGGATCAGGACAACACTTTTAGTCAGTGACAGTAGCAGAAAAAAAGTAGAGCTTGATGTGAAGGGAACACAGAGGGGCTAGCATGAGGAACATTGTTTTTGTTCGTATTATACAGTATAATGTATATGGACCTCAGAGGTAGACAAAACAGAGACAGACAAAGTGGAGTGAACCGGAACAGAGAGGGCCCAGAGGGAGGGGAGAGACCCGGGGGAGAGAGGGCCCAGAAGGGAGCGACACAGGGGGAGAAGGCTCAGAAGGAGGGGAGTGACAACTACTACTAATACTGCTACCACCAGCACTACTACCACTACCACATACTGTAATTATAGCTGGTACCTTTCTCTTGCTGGCAGCGATGACTGTGGGCAGCCAGCGACTCTCCCTCGTGTCCATGAGCAGGAAGACCACGTCGTGTTTAGAGATGAGATCCTCCAGGTGCTGCACGTCCCTATGGGCCTGGGACACTGTGGCCTCAGAAAAGTCTATGGGATGACCGGGCATCGGGATACTCATGCTGAAGCCCTCTGCGATCTGCCCAACCAGAAAACAAACACCAGCAGTTTTATATATACAGTGCTTTGCGAAAGTATTCGGCCCCTTGAATCTTTCAACATTTCGCCACATTTCAGGCTTCAAACATAAAGATATAAAAATAACATTTGTTGTCAAGAATCAACAACAGGTGGGACACAATCGTGAAGTGGAACGAAATGTATTGGATAATTTAAACTTTTTTAACATATAAAAAACTGAAAAGTGGGGCGTGCAATATTATTCGGCCCCTAATACTTTGTAGCGCCACATTTTGCTGCAATTACAGCTGCAAGTCGCTTGGGGTATGTCTCTATCAGTTTTGCACATTGAGAGACTAGAATTCTTTCCCATTCTTCCTTGCAAAACAGCTCGAGCTCAGTGAGGTTGGATGGAGAGCGTTTGTGAACAGCAGTCTTCAGCTCTTTCCACAGATTCTCGATTGGATTCAGGTCTGGACTTTGACTTGGCCATTCTAACACCTGGATACGTCTATTTGTGAACCATTCCATTGTAGATTTGGCTTTATGTTTTGGATCATTGTCCTGTTGGAAGATAAATCTCCGTCCCAGTCTCAGGTCTTTTGCAGACTCCAACAGGTTTTCTTCCAGAATGGTCCTGTATTTGGCTCCATCCATCTTCCCATCAATTTTAGCCATATTCTCTGTCCCTGCTGAAGAAAAGCAGGCCCAAACCATGATGCTGCCACCACCATGTTTGACAGTGGGGATGGTGTGTTCAGGGTGATGAGCTGTGTTGCTTTTACGCCAAACATATCGTTTTGCATTGTGGCCAAAATGTTCGATTTTGGTTTCATCTAACCAGAGCACCTTCTTCCACATGTTTGGTGTGTCTCCCAGGTGGCTTGTGGCAAACTTTAAACAAGACTTTTTATGGATATCTTTGAGAAATGGCCACTCTTCCATAAAGGCCAGATTTGTGCAGTGCACGACTGATTGTTGTCCTATGGACAGACTCTCCCACCTCAGCTGTAGTTATCTGCAGTTCATCCAGAGTGATCATGGGCCTCTTGGCTGCATCTCTGATCAGTCTTCTCCTTGTTTGAGATGAAAGTGTGGAGGGACGGCCGGGTCTTGGTAGATTTGCATTGGTCTGATACTGCTTCCATTTCAATATAATTGCTTGCACAGTGCTCCTTGAGATCTTTAAAGCTTGGGAAATCTTTTGGTATCCAAATCCAGCTTTAAACTTCTCCACAACAGTATCTCGGACCTGCCTGGTGTGTTCCTTTGTCTTCATGGTTCTCTCTGCGCTTTAAACAGAACCCTGAGACTATCAAAGAGCAGGTGCATTTATACGGAGACTTGATTACACACAGGTGCATTCTATTTATCATCATCAGTCATTTAGGACAACATTGGATCATTCAAAGATCCTCACTGAACTTCTGGACTGAGTTTGCTGCACTGAAAGTAAAGGGGCCGAATAATATTGCACGCCCCACTTTTCAGTTTTTTATTTGTTAAAAAAGTTTAAATTATCCAATACATTTCGTTCCACTTCACGATTGTGTCCCACTTGTTGATTCATGACAAAAAATTTAAATTGTATATCTTTATGTTTGAAGCCTGAAATGTGGCGAAATGTTGAAAGGTTCAAGGGGGCCGAATACTTTCGCAAGGCACTGTATATATATATATATATATATATATATATATATATATATATATATAAGGTGAACCCCTTCTAATGAAAAATGTTCTTACCTTAGAGCAAGCTGCTCTTGATAATATTTATCTAAAAGGACATCTACTAAAGTCCTTCAGAGAGACCAGAGACCAGAAAGAAAGATCAAAGACCTGAGAGAGACCTCTCAGGTCTCTCTCAGGTCTTTGATCTTTAAGGTCTATATCTTAAAGTGTTGTAAAGCTGCTGCAAACTCACACCAGCAGTTTTACAACACTTTAAGATATAAGTCTGAAGATGTCGTGTCACGCGCAATAAAAAAGTATTGAAGTTTATGGAGCGGTGAGCCCAGTTTGAGAGAACGCTCTGGTTCTGAATTCATACATTTTCCCCTGAGGAGTTTTAAAAAAGAGCAAGAGGAAAAGTGTTAAAAACCTTTATATTGATTAAAGCGGGGCAAATAGGGCACCTTTTGTACCAAGAGTCAAACTCAGACCACAACATTCGTCTTCATCATGTTTTATTTTGTGTAAGAAAGAGCCCCATTTGACTCTTTGGGATGGGAGATGACTGGCTGAGTGAGGGTGGTCTGCTCTTTTTCACTTTTCTGTCTAAAAAAGCTGATAGATGTGACAGAGGCCAAGCATATACAGTATGCATGTGAAAACTAGTGAAGGAAGCTCCCTGGTCCCTCTCTCTCTGGTCCCTCTCTCTACTCAGCGGCACGGTGGCTGAGTGGATAGCACTCTCGCCTCTCAGCAAGAAGGTCCTGGGTTCGAATCCCGGCCGGACCAGGGCCTTTCTGAGTGGAGTTTGCATGTTCTCCCCGTGTCTGCGTAGGTTTCCTCCGGGTACTCCGGTTTCCCCTACCACTAAAAATATGTCCAATAGGTCTGGCATGCGCCTCCTGTTCGGCGACCCCGCTCCCATCTCTGTGAGGAGTGAGAGGACAAGTGCCCAAAAAAAAATTACAATTGTAAACCGCTTTGTGACTCTGGTCTGTGAAAGGCGGTATATAAATAAAGCTTACTTACTTACTTACTTACTCTCTATCCTCTCTCATTCTGGTCTCTCTCCAACATGCATGCAGGTGATACCTAGTGATAGCAAACTATCTACGATACACTGACTACACTCTATCTTTTAGTGTAGTTTGAAAGTTAAGTTTCAGCTTTAATGTTGTCTGTACAGAATATATAACGGGCCACGCAGAAAAAACAACGCTGGAAGTTGGATCAAAAAGTAGGTAAAAATAACTACAACAATTGGGAGTGAAGGAGGTGTCAGTGAAGCTTCTCTCAGGGATCGGTGGAGGGAGCAGGTGGTCAACATGAAAAGACCAGACAATCAAATGCCACAGAGGCATCGAAAGCTCCTGCCATCTAAGAATTCTATTTATTGCATTAAACCCAAGACCCCTTTCCAGAGAGAGAGAGAGAGAGAGAGAGACCAAGATACGCAGATATCTAAAGTCTGAAAAATCCAGGTGTGTTGATGAACATAATCTTTCCTCAGTGAAGATTATAGTTTTGACATATTTATAACAGGACAATTCTGTAATCAAAGCCATCAATGTAAACAAATAGAACAATAATTTATTATTGTTATTATTATTATTCTTTCATCCCAGATATAACTGAAGCATGGAGCAGATTGTTTAAGTATCAACATTTTTGACAGATAAGGAACAATAAAATAAATATAACCACAATGCAGTGTGGGCTTCTTTGTTGAAACTCGGGTCTGAAAGTTGGAAAAGAATGAACCAAAACGATGATCATACCTAAGATATTAGATTTTTTTTTTTAGGTTTTTTGCCTAATTAAGACATTATATAGTAGAAACAAGGGAGAGACCAGAGAGTGAGATCAGAGAGAGACCAGAGAAACTTTCCATCATAGTGATTCCTCTCTGATGCAGGAGGCCAGGGACATTTCTGCACATTTATAAACATTTCTGGAGATCTATGGTCTATGGACCAACGGCCCCTATTTTTTTTTTATTATTGAATGTCCTGTGTTTGAACTATTTCATCATCTGCTCTGTTGTTGGTGAATCCACATTTTTGTAAAGTCCTCAGAGTTGTTGTGATTTAGGGCGATGCACAAATACTTTTAATTCAAGTGTCGCACAGAGTGAGAGTTACACACATAATCATAGTTCTGTGAGTCTCATAGGAAGAAAAAGAACCACATTCATCAGAAGCTGTGGCCTTTTTAAGTTGTTGTTATTTGGAAAATGTATTTGTACAAAAGGTCATGATAGATTCATCATTGGAGCCAAACAAGTGTTGAGTTGTTTGTAGCTCCAGTGCAGCGTCAGCAAAAGGAAAGCTCACACAGAATGAATATGCAGCAGCAGGATGTGTTTGTTAGTCAATATTTAATGTTGAGGAGGAAAGAGACAGTTTACTTTGTGACCTTTAGTAATGCAGCACATAGTTAGAAGAGAGGATTAGAAGTCCCAGTGTACACCAAGGCAAGTTTATTTGTGTAGCACAGTTCATACATACAGTGCCTTGCAAAAGTATTCGGCCCTTTCAACATTTCGCCACATTTCAGGCTTCAAACATAAAGATATAAAAAAAATATTTTTTGTCATGAATCAACAACAAGTGGGACACAATCGTGAAGTGGAACAAAATTTATTGCATAATTTAAACTTTTTTAACAAATAAAAAACTGAAAAGTGGGGCGTGCAATATTATTCGGCCCCTTTACTTTCAGTGCAGCAAACTCACTCCAGAAGTTCAGTGAGGATCTTTGAATGATCCAATGTTGTCCTAAATGACTGATGATGATAAATAGAATGCACCTGTGTGTAATCAAGTCTCCGTATAAATGCACCTGCTCTTTGATAGGGTTCTGTTTAAAGCGCAGAGAGAACCATGAAGACAAAGGAACACACCAGGCAGGTCCGAGATACTGTTGTGGAGAAGTTTAAAGCCGGATTTGGATACAAAAAGATTTCCCAAGCTTTAAACATCTCAAGGAGCACTGTGCAAGCAATTATATTGAAATGGAAGGAGTATCAGACCACTGCAAATCTACCAAGACCCGGTCGTCCCTCCAAACTTTCATCTCAAACAAGGAGAAGACTGATCAGAGATGCAGCCAAGAGGCCCATGATGAACTGCAGATAACTACAGCTGAGGTGGGAGAGTCTGTCCATAGGACAACAATCAGTCGTGCACTGCAAAAATCTGGCCTTTATGGAAGAGTGGCAAGAAGAAAGCCATTTCGCAAAGATATATCCATAAAAAGTCTCGTTAAAAGTTTGCCACAAGCCACCTGGGAGACACACCAAACATGTGGAAGAAGGTGCTCTGGTCAGATGAAACCAAAATTGAACTTTTTGGCCACAATGCAAAACGATATGTTTGGCGTATAAGCAACACAGCTCATCACCCTGAACACACCATCCCCACTGTCAAACATGGTGGTGGCAGCATCATGGTTTGGGCCTGTTTTTCTTCAGCAGGGACAGGGAAGATGGCTAAAATTGATGGGAAGATGGATGGAGCCAAATACAGGACCATTCTGGAAGAAAACCTGTTGGTGTCTGCAAAAGACCTGAGACTGGGACGGAGATTTATCTTCCAACAGGACAATGATCCAAAACATAAAGCCAAATCTACAATGGAATGGTTCACAAATAGACGTATCCAGGTGTGGCCAAGTCAAAGTCCAGACCTGAATCCAATCGAGAATCTGTGGAAAGAGCTGAAAACTGCTGTTCACAAACGCTCTCCATCCAACCTCACTGAGCTCGAGCTGTTTTGCAAGGAAGAATGGGCAAGAAGTCCAGTCTCTCGATGTGCAAAACTGATAGACATACCCCAAGCGACTTGCAGCTGTAATTGCAGCAAAAGGTGGCGCTACAAAGTATTAGCGCAAGGGGGCCAAATAATATTGCACGCCCCACTTTTCAGTTTTTTATTTGTTAAAAAAGTTTAAATTATCCAATAAATTTCGTTCCACTTCACGATTGTGTCCCACTTGTTGTTGATTCTTGACAAAAATTTAAATTTTTATATCTTTATGTTTGAAGCCTGAAATGTGGCGAAATGTTGAAAGGTTCAATACTTTCGCAAGGCACTGTAAGGCAACTGTACACAAGTGCTGAACAGAACAATCACACATAATCAATCAAATTTCATTAAAAAGAGTGAAGATAAAATACTTGAGTTGTTGCAGCAAAATAGAACTGTTTTTTTTAACCTGGATTTGAACATTGTTAGAGTGAAGTCTGACGAATCTGAAACGCTGCCTCCCCAAGTTTCCCACCATGAGGCCAGTTTTTTTTTTTAACCCCTTTTTTTAATAATAAACCGTAAAATTGCCTAAAAATAAGTGATAAAGATTTCCCAATGAGGTATACAGATTTCAGTTCCAACATGCTTCAAGTAGATATAGTGACTCGGAAGGTGATCCAGGTGATTATTTATGGTTTAAATGCCTATCTATCTATCTATCTTTTTTTTCTATTTTTCTATTAACTATCTAATCATTTCAATTTCTCACTTGAGAAATGAAAAAGAAAACGGATATTCTCAGAGGAGAGAGGAGACGAGATGAGAGAGGACAGGAAAGGAGAAGAATGAGAGGAGAGAGGGGAGGAGAGAGAAAACGGAGAGAAAGGAGAGAGGAGGGAGGAGAGAGAAGAGGGAGAAGAGAGAGAGGAAAGAGGAGAGCAGTGTTTGTTCCACAGATCATACACGGTGAATGAAGACTCACCACTCCGGGGAAGATCTTGCGGAGTCGGTCCACTGCAGCTGTGGCCTTGGGCTTCCCTCCTCCCAGACAGTCCTCAAACTCATACAGAGGCTGACGGACCGGGTTTGAGTAGGAGATCTTAGCATTGTCCACAAACGTGATGTGTCTGACGCCCCAGCCCTGATAAACAAACAGAACAACAGATTCTACAGTTACAAACCTGTCCCCTCTTCTAAAACATACACGGAGGCCGATTCTGTTGGCCAATGTAGTGCAAAGTTAAATACAATATACACTGTCCCTCGCTATATTTCAGTTCACCTTTCGCTGTTCACCTTACTTCTTGTGCGCTGCATGTATAGATAGTTGGATACTTTACAACAACGCATTCAAAAGTGGCTTGTGTGAGCCCTCAGAGAGAATGTGTGTGTGTGTGTGTGTTTGTGTGTGCGTGCGTGCGTGCGTGCGTGCGTGTGCACCCAAAGACAGGCATGTCTTTGGGTGCATGTGTACCATGAGGGTTCGGGCCACGTTGCAGCCCAGAGTTCCCGCTCCCAGCAGCAGACACTTGGTGTTGATCACTTTGTCCAGATCCAGAGAAGGAACCAGTCTCCAGCGCATCAGCTTCAGGTTCAAGTCCACAGAAGACTCTGCCAGTCTGCACACAATTTATTTATTTATACAGTTTTATTTTGTTTGGAGGATTAGCCCCTGGAGATGAAACATCTTGTTATCGAGGGGTCGTCAAAATTGCGTAAAATGGCAGATACAGTAAGGCAGACAAAAATAAAAACGTATGTTATTATTATCATTGTATTTATAATAATAACAAAGCACATCATTGCAAATAATAGATACATTTAGGTTAATAATCTATGCTCAAAAACAGGCTGTTCCAGTCAGAGGGAACTTTAAATTTAAATGAATGTTAAACTTCTTTTGACTCTAGAAAAACAAAAACGCACACCAAGTTCTTCTCATGAGGTGCATGTGCTGGAGCAGAAATTAAATGTATTGGAAAATACACAGCACACTCGGATAGATGTCCAAAAGATCTAGTATTTATTACGTTTTGGCCTTAGCCTTCGTCAGATCATTTTTATCTTATTCATTTGGATCACAATATTGTGATCCAAAAGAATAAGATCATTTTTATCTTATTCAACTTCTTTTGACGTCTGGCTGACGTCAGCTTTAGAACCCATCACAGATAGTGGTGGGTTCTAAAGAGACAGCGGAGAATGAACCTGCACAGGCTGTTATATGCAGTAGGGTTTTGATAGATTATGTCATTATAATCTAGAGTAGGAAGAATCAACCGTGAAATAATCTTTTTCCTAACTGAAAAACAGAAGCAATTAATTAACACTAACCTGAACCCTTACACTACACTAGCCCACTACACCACACTAATCCTAACCCTACTCTAACCCTACACTAACCCAACAATTAAGCAATCAATCCTACAATCAAGATGTGAAAAAGAATCATATAATTTACTGTTGTGTCCTAACTCCTATCCCCTATTTCCTAGCCTCATCAACTGAATGTGATAATATTGGAACGAGGCATAAACACAGATTTTGCCACATTACTCTTGGTTTGCGACACAAAGAAAATTCTGTTCCTACACATAGTCCACATACTCCACATCGGTATGTCTGGTCAGACATTATTATAAATGTACATTCTAAAACATCTATAACCTGCTACAGGATTCAAGGCCAGTCACAGAGTATCCTAACGTTTTGAATCACAAGTGTTAGTGAGGAAAGGCCAAGAAAGTAAAATCCAAACAGAACCAGAGGGGTTTCAGCCCAAACCACATCAAGCCCAAAAAGTTGTTTAAGCCCGGACCCAGCTAGAACCTGGCGTGTTCTTGCTGCATGTGGAAGTTTCCCATAGACCTCAATGTTAACTAAAAAAAGCTAACCAGGGAGACCAGAGAGAGAGACCAGGGAGAGAAATATGCATAGACCTCACACTTTTGAGGCGGAAACGGTTTTGTCCCTCTCTATGATTGTGGTACAGGTTTTGCTCAAGAATATCCCTGTATTTAGCACCATCCATCTTTCCCTAAACTCTGACCAGTTTCCCAGTCCTGGCTGCTGAAAAACGTTCCCACAGCATGATGCTGCCACCACCATGTTTCACTGTGGGGATGGTGTTTATTTATTTATTTAGAGCAGCCATTCCCAAACTCAGTAACACCGAGGCCCCCTTAAAAATCTGACGGGTCTGCGTGGCCCCCCAAAATAATAACCAAGAAGACAACATTAAGAATAGGCTCTTCTGGTTATTTTATTTTGGGGAAATAGCCTCTGCTACAAACATTGTAATACAAAAATGATTACAGTGGATTATTCAAGTCAAATAATGAACACAAATATTTTAATATTACAAACAAAACATTTGAAATTTAACATTAAATAATTATATATATATATATTTTTTTTATGACCTCCCGCGGCCCCCCTGCAGTACCCTCGCGGCCCACCAGGGGGCCACTGATTTAGAGGATAAGCCAAGCCCCGGCGATTCAAGATGGCGCCCTATTCAAATGAATGGTTGTGCTCAGTGGCGCTTTGTGACAGCATGGGGGCTGAAAAGATTAGCGGAAGTTGCCTGAAACTCGCAAAGAACTTTGGGAAACTCGCCTGTATTTGGGCATCGTCTGGTCCTCCCGGTTCTGCGCAGTGGATGATCTCCCATAATGCGTTGCGTCAAACACGCGTGTGTGGGTCTCACACCAGGTCTCACGCACGTGCACAGAGGGGCTCGGCCGCGCTCTGACCAATCAGAGCAGTTCATCAGAGCGGGAGTTAGAGCGAGAGCCAGACGAGCAGAGTTTGTGGCACTAAAGTGTGGATTTAAACAAAACCGAAGGATTTAAGAAGAAAAAAAGTTCAGGATGACAAGGGACACTAAAATCCCCACAAAATCCTATCTTTATTAAAGCTGTAGGTTCTCTGTCAGCTGAGGTCGAGCTGTTTTAATATGCATTGAGTTTTATGGGGAAAATTTCTGGGTAGCCCACGTGATTTTAGTCTGGTTCAGTCTGCAGTACCGCGAGAATCCCCTGAGCACATGAGTTATTCAGCTACAAGCTAGTAATACCCTATCCAGTTAATATAATACATCCATGGGATAAGCCCCTTGAGATGAATCATTTCATTTTCGAGGGGGTCCTCAAGGTGACAGATACAGCAAAATAGATGCAAACAAAACAAAAATACAAGAAAATCATGAAAAATAAAAATAAAAAATAAATAAAAAAAGCAACCATAAAAAATACACACACATACACCCTCAATCACTCACACCCATACACACACACACACACACACACACGCGCACACACACACCGTGAATGTACTGTAATTACACTAAATAAGGAAAATACTTTATAATATTAATATTAATAGTGATAATAATAATTGGGAGACAGTAAAGACAAGTTTAGGACTCATAACCTAAGATCAAAAATATTGACATGAATTCTGGAGATATTGTACAAGAGCAGTTTTAAACAGAAGCAGAGAAGTTAGAGACAAACGGCAAACTGTTCCAGTCAGACGGAGCTTTAAATTCAAATGCGTTTTCCAGATTCTTTTTTCACTCTTGGAACTACAAGAAGAGATTGATTTGCATGACGCAAACTGTACGAGGATTGGAAAGGAATCAGATAATGCTTTAAATATTCAGTAAAACTGAGATGAATACATTTGAAAATAAACAATAGCCAATGTAGCTGACGTCTGGAGGACAGAGAGAGCCATGACAGCTGCTCGTATCTCAGGCAGTGATGGGTTCTGAAAGGACAGCGAAGGATGAACCTACACAGGCTGTTGTAAGAGACAGTCAGAGGCTGGAGAACAGAGGCAGTAGTATTTATATAAATTATATCACAGTAATCAAGAATGGGGAGAATCAATTGAGAAATGATCCTCTTCCTTACTGATAAACTAAAACAGTTAATCGATTGATAAAGTAATTTTCTTTGTAATTGTATGTACTGTATATAAATATTAAATGACAGAGAAGGATCAAGCCATAAGCCGAGATATTTAAATTTATCAACAACTGGAACTGGAGACATGTCTGAAAACATAAGATTAATTTCACTTGTAGAAACAGGACAGATTCTCTTCTGGAATAGGAAAAACATTTTTTTTGATTTGTTCAGAAATAATTTGTTAGATTGTAGCCATAATTGAACTGAATTGAAGTTATTTTGAGCAGAGTATTGGATATCAGTAACATTAGCTTTGAATGAATAGATTACTGTGTCATCAGCATAACGTTGGATCTGACAGTCTGTACATGCAAGGGGAAGATCATTAATGAATATGGAGAACAGTAGAGGACCAAGAGATGAGCCTTGAGGCACCCCTCTCTCAATAAATTAAAACTCAGAGTAGCTGCCATTAAAAAATTACACACTGCTGACGATGATGCAGATAGGAATTAAACCAGAGGGGTGAGGGCCGATCCAGGCCAATGGAATGAAGCTTGTCTAAAAGCAAATAATGATCGACCAAATCGAAAGCTTTTGTGAGGTCAAAAAATAAAGCACCAGTAAGCAAATTATTGTCAGAGGGAACTTCACAGGTGTTAAAGGATAAGTTAAAAAGATCTGCCAGAGGAAAGCACAAAACATGGGAGGCCACTGCAAGGAGATAGTCCATTCGGAATCTGTTCTACTGCAGCAGGACTAACTCGTCTGAAGGAGAAACTGCTCCTACATGGAGCATAATTGAAAGAACCAGATGAATGAGGCGGAGACTGGGATTGAGGCAAATGAGTAAAATGTTGATTAAAATCAGTGGCAATAGTGTTTGCATCATTTGTGAATACATCATTGATGAGCATATTATTGGAAGCAGAGTTGGGTTTGCACCAGACATAGCGTTTTCCTTGATGGCCGAAAAGTTCAATTTTAGTCTCATCAGACCAGAGCACCTTCATTTTGGGAGTCTCCCACATGCCTTTTCGCAAACTCAAAACGTGCCATTTTGTTTTTTGCTGAAAGTAATGGCTTTCTTCTGGCCACTCTGCCATAAAGCCCAACTCTATGGAGCGTACGGCTTATTGTCGTATGTACAGATACTCCAGTCTCTGCTGTGGAACTCTGCAGCTCCTCCAGGGTTACCTTAGGTCTCTGTGCTGCCTCTCTGATTAATGCCCTCCTTGCCCGGTCCATGAATTTTGGTGGGCGGCCGTCGCTTGGCAGGTTTGCTGTTGTGCAACTGAATGTGATAATATTGGAACGAGGCATAAACACAGATTTTGCCACATTACTCTTGGTCTGCGACACAAAGGAAATTCTGTTCCTCCACATAGTCCACATACTCCACATCGGTATGTCTGGTCAGACATTATACATTCTAAAACATCTATAACCTGCTACAGGATTCAAGGCCAGTCACAGAGGATCCTAACGTTTTGAATCACAAGTGTTAGTGAGGAAAGGCCAAGAAAGTAAAACCCAAACAGAACCAGAGGGGTTTCAGCCCAAACCACATCAAACCCAAAAAGTTGTTAAAGCCCAGACCCAGCTAGAACCTGGCATGTTCTTGCTGCATGTGGAGGTTTTCCCATTGACCACAAAGCTAATCAGGGAGAGAGAGACCAGGGAGAGAAATATGTATAGAAAAGAAAATAAACCTGCACTGCTATTGACACTTCTTTCTAATCGTCACTTTTTTGTGCATAATATATCCTGCATTAACATGCTGCACATTTCTTACTTTTGCACAATTCTTGAGTGTTCCTATCCTTGCCAATGTGACATGTAAATTTCTCCTGTGTGAGATTAATAAAGTCTTATCTTATCCTATCTTATCTTATAGACCTCAGTGATCTTTTTGAAGTCTGTTTCTATAAATCCACACTTTTGAGGCAGAAACGGTTTTGTCCCTCTCTATGATTGGACCTGGGGCTGGACTGAGACAGTAGCAGACAGAGAGACTAGATGAGAATAATACCCTCTTTGCTGATCGCCTTTTCGGGTCCATGCATTCACTCAGATTCCCCATCCTGGGTCCTATGCTATCTCCTCTCCCATGCCCTCTCCTATCTAATCCCGTATCTATTATTTCCTATCTGCTATCTTCTATGAATATGTATAAACCCCTTTTTGCGGATCACCTTTTTGGGTCCATGCATTCACTCAGATTCACCATCCTTGGTCCCATGGCTCCTTTGGGGTTCTTCTCCCAGCCCACACTCTTGGGAAAGGCTGAAAACAAAACACCATTAGATAAAATAGAGAGACAGCTGCAATTCAGGAACAGACTGATCCACTCTCCTGTTCAAAGGACAACAAGAACTGGGTTGGATGAACAGCTCTATCCCACTCTGGCCTTTCCCACTCTGGCCTCTCTCGTCTCTCCCTCTCTCGTCTCTCCCTCTCTCGTCTCTCCCTCTCTCGTCTCTCCCTCTCTCGTCACTGTGACATTTTGATATTTAGAAAATGAAAGCCTTTGCAGAGAGACAAAATCTCTATGGAAACCGGTTTGAACCAGAAAAACACGAACACACCATGGGGAGAGCTTTGTTACCGATGCATAACCTGTAATTTACTTCTAACGACAGCGTTTTCAATTATAGTTTCACTCATAGAAACTGAACAGCTTATTGCACAGAATCCAAACGTGTTCTCATTTGGAAAAGCAGTGGATACATTTGATTAAAGCTCTTGCTCTCTCTGGTCTCGCTCTCACTGGTCTTGCTCTCACTGGTCTCGCTCTTTCTGGTCATAGTGAGTTTTAGTGAGTACTATCCTCTCATGTCTCCTTCTTCAGAATGACTTCAGCTGTAGTTTGTTCATTGCTATTCAACCACTTTCCCACTATCCATAGCGTGATGATGGACCCCTGAATCCAGACACTCACATCTGCATCTGTGGACTGGTCTCCCCCGGCCCAGTATCGTGGGAATTTCCTGTGTTCAAACTGTTTGATTCTCTGATTTTGTAAAGTCCTCTCTGGTCTCCTTATCTGGTCTTTCACCCTCTCTGGCCTCTCTCACTCTGGCCTCTTTCTCTCTTTGGCCTCTCTCTCTCTCTGGGCCTTCTCTCTCTGGTCCGTCTCTCTCTGGTCCTTCTCTTTCTGGTCCTTCTATTTCTGGTTCTTCTCTCTCTGGTCCTTCTCTCTGGTCTCTCCCTCTGCTCAACCAAATAATAAGACCTCGTTCCTAAAATATGCAGATATGTCATTACACTGCGGCTGCACAGACTCAGCTCCACTTAGCGATCGGTCTCTAGACGCCGCTCTCCCACTGCTCCTGTCAGGATTCCACTGCATTGCAGAGGACAGTCTCTGACAAGGACAATAGAGAATACCTTAACCTTAAAATAAACTCTACAGCATCATATTCTGTGGGGATTTATTCAAAACTGTGCGTTCATCAGGACACATCAATCAGCAAAATGTGATTAACTCACACACACTGACCGGACCATAGACTGTATACAGATGGACAATGCTATCCCGCTAGCTCGATGAAGCCCAATAGGGAAGTGCTCATGGACAGTTTCTCCAACCCGCTCTGGCTCCTATTGACTTAAATGTAAAAGTAAACTCCTCTAGCTCAGTAACCGTTGTCATTTAAGTCCAAAATGGTGTCAGACTCACTATTTTGGGCTTAAATCTGTTTTTTGGTTTTTGTCTTTTGTCAATATTTATATGGTTCACATCTGGATTTACAATCAGATACCTTGATTCACAAGGGAAAGTCCAAAGTTTTTCTTAGCAACCATCAACACATCTGCCCCGGTTACCACGCTAAACTAACATTGTCTGCATAAATGTCTCCAGCTAGCTTATGTTCAAATTGGCCACACACGTCACACTCTGTGTATCGGACAGAGACATAAATGCTTCACCTGAGTTGGAGGCGAGAAAAGGCAGTTTGAGCTGGAGGAGTACACTGTGCCTGATGGAGCGACTGCCCTGTAACGTCCGGTCTCTGAAACAAAGGACCTCCAGCTCCTCCAGCCTCGAGCCCCTGAGAAACAAACCGAGAGAGAGCAGTCACGGCGAATGCAAATATGAAGACATGTTAATTAGTGGTGGGGGGAGAAAAGTTGCATCTGTATCGCAATATTTTACGTACACATTCACATCAATACAGTAGAGCAAAGTATCATAATTATCTGTTTCACTTTGGTGTTTTCTCAGAGTTTACTTTGGTCATTTACATGTACGAATTACATCCACAAGGTGTCCCTTGTTGCGGTGCTTTGTTTTCGTGCATTCATTCAACAGCAAATTCAATGAAAATGGCTTCATCACAACTAGTTCTACACAACGCTCTGTCCTCTTTAATCACAAAATTATGGCTCAATTTTGGCTTTCATCAACAAGTGGCTGAAGAGGTTTATGTAACTTTGCTCTTGTTCCTCTTGTTACTGTTGTTTTGCACTCCCAGTTTTTGCACTTCACTTAATATGCAGACCATAATAACTATGATATTTACCACAACATGAACCGCAATATATTGTAGAATCGAAACGTAATACTTTTTGTATATGTTAAGAATCGCTATAATATTGAATTGAGGCCCAAATATTGCAATACTATTGAATAGTTTATTTATTATTTATTAGTAATATAGTTTATTATTTATTTATGCCGATTCCCACCCCAGATGATAATATATTATGAATACATGTTAATAATGACAGGTAAACAAAAAGACTCCACACACTAGAACAAAATGTCCAAGGTCTCCCATTAAATACACTCTGTACTTCTCATTATGTTATAAATGTTGAATTTGAAGAAACTGAAAGTGATCATACTCAATTTGAAGGAAAAAAACAGAACATTTGTATGAAGAGAGAAAAGAGTCACCAGAGAGAGAGACAAAAGATAGACCCATCAAGGTGTGGTAGTTACAAAAACTGAATCTTTTACACGAACAATCATAGCTCACAGCTGAAATTTGGTAGTCGAACAGTCGAGGTCCTTTATGTGGACGCTGACCAGTTCATGACATCAGAAATACTCATATGAATGAAAAATAGAGCCAGATAGACTAAAGTGGCCTTATCAGTAAAAAGGCCACTTTAGTCTATCAGAGTTGTCCAGGGACCAAAAACATAGATTGCAAAACTGCTTTGACTGGCTTTGAGCTGCTCCTGAGCTGAAGTTGGCTGTATGAAAAATGTTTACTGTCTCACCATTAGCCCTATCCACATAATTTTGTGACTCTGCTTTGTGAAATAAATCTATTCAAATAGTCAATGGCTGGATTCTAGAGGTTCTAAGCTTTACAACAAATATTACATGCTTGGTGAAGCTGAAGTTGGCTGGATGACACTTAACTGTTGTTTATGATCTCAAAGGCAGAGGGCCATAAAACAAGTGTGTTAAGTCAGGGGCTCTGACGGCCTTTCGTTTTGAAAGTGTTATTTCAGCTCATGTACATTTGAGAGTTTTTCTGTTTATAAATGTAGTTTACATAAATGTCATACATGCATGTTCTATTTTAGAAGCAACAGTGGCACAATCGGTAGAGCATTGGCCTTTGAGCTTGAAGGTTGTGGGCTCAAGCCCTCCACGAGACCTTTTCCACAGACTCCCACTGACGTCTGCTGTTGTTGTGTCTTTGGGCAAGACACTTAATCCCACTTTGCCCGAAGCCCTTGCTGAATGAAGCCCTTGCTCTAGTCTGCAACTCAGACTAGAGCAGCCGTCCTCCTGTGGACTCCTGCAGGAGGATCAGTGAGGGGCTGGCGCTATGTGAATTAGCCTGAGTGCCTAGACTAGACTGACTGCCACCCCCCTCATACAAGAAGGATGCAGGGGCTCCTGGGTAACTCCAGACACACTCTTCATGACACTATGGCTCAGAGGAGTAATCATAGCTTATAGCTTATATCACTGCACTGCCAAGCGTAGGAGTGTGACAATATATCGATACCGCGATTCGATTATCGATATGCAGGGTTTTTTTTCTTTTACAAATTATTTTTTTAAATTGGTATCAATACTTAATATATGGCTACATTACACATCTTCATTCCATTTATCATTAAATAAAGTGTATTTTTTCTTTTATTTATGCCATAAATTGGCATATTGTATATTTCTGACTAATATATTGATAATCGTCATATAGTGATAATATCGTTATTGTGAGCTTTGTATCGTGTATCGTATCGTGAGGTACCCTTAGGTTCCCACCCCTAGCCAACCGGGACATTTTAAGAGATTCTTTGCTCCTTCAGCTGTCAGACTGTACAACAGACCTGGGTGAGTTTTCTGCTGCTGGACACCTGAATTTCTCCTACGGGGGATCAATAAAGTATCTATCTATCCCCGACCCAGAAATGAATTAAGGGGGAAAAGATGGATGGATGTTCTCTTTTGAAATAAAAAATAACTTCTCCCATACAGTCCATTCATCATGTACATTTGAAAATTATCCATTTTCAGTTGCTTAGCAATCGACATTCTATGGCAGTAAAAGCCACTCATCTCCAAGGTGCTGGTCTTGGACTGGTTCTCGTTCTGTTTGGTTTTCCACCAGAAAAGTGAAAGTGCTAGTTACCATAGCAACACACTGTTTACTTTAGCATTAGCATTGCAACAAACTGTTGTTGCTACATTTCAGTTATCTGTTTTTAGCAGTTTAGCACCTTTTCAATTACTTTCTTTTAATAAAACTGGTGGAAAGCTAGCTCACTTTATTTTGATATTTGTTCAAATCATATGAATTACACTGATTTGAATGGGGGCAGTGAAACTGACTGCTCTGGGAGTCCAGTGTGAACTTGTTGCAGCATTTTTTGACTAGAATTCCATGCAAACAAGACTGAAGTATTCTGAATACAGTTCAGTATTCTCCCAACATGGAAACCGCCAGGCCAGGTCTCCTTTGTTTTACTTCCCGCACTTGTTTATTTGTCGCAGACACAGATTCAGAGTCTCCTGCAATCACATATGCCCCTCTGAAAGTTTTATTGGGGAAAAATATAAGGACTTCTAAAGTAACCCAATCACAATGACAGAGATGCTGACACAGAGCCATCCATTCCCGCAGATACAATATATTAAGCCCAATAAATTGGGCATATATTTCTGGATTTACATACTGCTTCTTGTGAGTTAATATAATCTGAATTCTCTCCAGTCTGTAATGTTGGCCTTATCCCAAACCTCACACCTCTACATCCTGGCAGTAAATGCACTATACTTCCTCCTTCCTACACACAAAGATACAGTGAATTTACCATCTGTAAGCGATAAGAAGCAGCAGGTTCCTCAGGGGCCAGCCCGGATGTAGGGACAGAGTACACGGATCGTAAACGCCCACTGAGACCTGCCAACGAGAGACAACAAGCTGTCAGGAGGAGGAGGATGAGGAGGACAGATTACAGGGGTCATAGACCATGAAACCTACAGACGAGAGAGAACAAGCTGTCAGGAAGAGAGGAGGAGACCTGCCAATGAGGGAGAACAAGTTGTCTGGAGAAGAGAACATGGTCTCTTGTTTATCACAGGGGTAAGTGTTCTCAAAATAACCCACAATAAGTGAAATCCTTGATACCCCTCACCACAGACTTTAGAGAGATCAGAGAAAGAATAGAGAGAAAGTCTAGAGAAACTAGAGGGAGACTAGAGGGAGACGAGAGGGAGAGAGACCACAGAGCGAAACCACAAGGAGAAACCAGAGAGGAGACCAGAGAGAGCCCAAACAGAGACCAAAGAGAGACTAGAGAGAACCCAGAGAGAGACCAGACAAAGAAGCAAATCTATTCTTCTGACTTTAACAGAAAAAACTAGCCTGACTCTCACCAGACCCTTGTAGTTCCGCCATGCTCCACCAGAGGCGTTTGGCTGAACACAACGTCTGGGATCAAGCGCATAGCAAACTCTTTCAGGAGATCAAAAAATAATCTGCGAATCATGATCTCAGGTGTGACGTCGGGTTTGCACCGTCTTCTCAAGCGTGTCTCACGGGGAAGCAAAAACAATCCAAGATGGCGAAGGTAAAGTCCGTAAATTTAAAAAAAAAGTTCAAATACAAACAAATTAAAAAATCATTCTGGGTGTTTTTTTCTTTTTTGGGGGGGCATTCTCGCTGGTTTTGGGCTGGAAAATCTTGCTGGAATTTGGCAACCCATGGGAGTCGTGTGCTGAATTTTGTGCTCCGATGTGAGTGATTGAAGGAACACGACGTCATTCAAGATAACAGACACGTGGTTTATCCAATCACACACAAGGATTTTTTTTACAAGATGTATCCACTATGGAATAGACCCAGACCCTTGTGAGAAGCTCAGCGATCTACAAGGGTCTGGCGAGGGTCTGGCGAGAGTCAGGCTAGAAAAAAACACCATGACTGCTAAATATAATCAGGGTGCCCTTGTCATGGCGCGAAGCCAACACCACAGAACAAATGACTATGAAAGGAAACTGGCTCCAGCTAGCTTATATTCTATTTTGTATAAACCATTAAAAACACTATGGTGATGTCACACTCACATTGTTTTGCCAGATTGCAGACACAGTTTTACCTTCTTAGCGTCTCCAAAGAAAGTGTCCCAGTCCTTCAGGTCAGCCATCTCCACCAAGTCCTCACTGTATTTCAGTAGAAAGTACGGGACTGCTGTTGTGCCCTTTAGCAAACACAGTGAGTCGTACGTCTGCTGCAGCGATGAGATCTGAGAGACGAACCAAAACAAGGCTAGTATTTGAAACAGAAGAGGAAAGCAGGGTTCTATTATGGTATTGAAACTTATGAGCACTCCCTTTGCACTCATATAAAAAAAAAAATAATACTGGTGGGATAATAAAACTGGTGGGAAAGTCATTTATAAGGTTATTTAGTCACTTTTACTAAGTTAATATAACACAGTTAAACAGTTTGGTGAAAGGCTAACGCCCCGTACACACCGCAAGGACAGCAAGGCAAAGGAGGCTCGCGTCATGCGGCTGTGCGCACAGGGACATGGCTGATGTGGACAGTACAGAGCAGAGAACTGGTGTAGAGCAACAAAAATCAGAAATGTGTTTGTTCTCATGGTCTCTGTGGGCTGGTGTGGTCAGACGCGAGACTTTATGAAAGAAAAAAAGCAATGTCCAGAATCACTGTCAAAGCTGTCAGCCCTCCTCTATTGTTTAGATACAAGTGCTGTGTGTGTGGAGCTGATCTAATGCCAAAGGATCGCTAGCACAAACATGTTTACCATGTGTTTTGACAAGGAGCCATGTCACAGTGCAAACAAAAATACGAGCGCTCGTCAACCCAAAATAGGACCCTCGACATTGAGTAACGACATTTTATACTTGCTTCTTTATTATGCTAAATAGATTTCTATTTTATTTTAGTATAGTGATTATTCACTTATCTTGTGCTGTGTGCTCCTCATTCCTACTGTTCTGTAACTGGTGATGCAAAACTGAAATTTACTGTGGGATGAAAAAAAAGGATCTCTTCATCTTTATCGTCTTCACAAACTGAATGTCGACCCTATGCCCCCTAAGAGCCTACAACCATTCAGATCTATGCAGCCATATTAGCCATCGATAATTTGTTCTACCGAGACTGTAAACAGATGAAAAATGCTAACCCGCTAACTTAATGAAGCCCAATAACCGGCTAACCCTAACCCGTACAAGTAAATTCCTCCTCTGAATGGGAACCGTCAGATTGACTTCTCTGGGAGCCCTAGTGTTAAACAATTGGCCCTCTTCCATTCCTCTGCTCAGTGTGAGAAGATTCTAATTCGCTGCTGTTTACAGAACATTATACAGTGATCGGTTTTGCAGAAAGTGTTCGGCTCCAGCGGGTTTCTCTAATTGGTTCATGCTTCATTCATTTTCCTTCGACAGAGATTTAGTTTCATCTCAGTTTCCCCAGAGACGAGGGCTCACAAAGTTCTTTCTCAAAGTCAATAACCACACGTTGTAATTAATATTTAGGCCGCATTAAACAATGAGCAGTAGATTGAATGGAGCGACAGCTGAATCCACTTGTACAAGTCCTCTGAGACGAAACTAAACAAAGTTGTGGAATCAATAACAACAGGGTAGAGTAGAGTAGAGTAGAGTAGGGTAGGATAGAGTAGTAGTGTAGGGTAGGGTAGAGTAGGGTAGGGTAATATGGAGTAGTGTAGGGTAGGATAGAGTAGGGCAGAGGAGGGTTGAGTAGAGTTGTCAATTTTGCCTACTATTGGGCAAAACAGTGATTAGTCATCCACCAATTGTGGAGGTACTCCCACTTAAAAAGATGAGAGATGTCTGTTATTTAAATTAATAGTTTTACCTCAACTATGAGAGAAAGAGGGAAAAATACAGATCACTTTGTAAGAAGCATTTCAAGGTCCTGGAATAGTCTCACCAGAAAATATTTGAATATTTGAAGTTGTAAGTCTATATTGCCGAGCCCCAAATGCCCACATTCCTCGAAGATATCTACAGGAAGAATGGGCCAAAATACCAGCAACAGTGTGTGGAAATCTTGTGAAGACTTACAGCCTTTTGTTTTTGACTAAATACTTATTTTCCATCATCTGCAAATAAATTCTTTAAAAATCAGACAAGATCAGTTTTGCATTCAGTTTAATTGCCATTTTCAGTAAATAGAAAACAAATTGGAATATATGGATTTTGTCTCTCAGAGTTGAGGAATATCTGGTTTATCCTTCTGGTCTCTGGTCTGTCTCTCTCTCTCTGGTCCGTCTCTCTCTGGTCTGTCTCTCTCTCTGGTCTGTCTCTCTCTCTGGTCTGTCTCTCTCTCTGGTCACTCTCCCTCTCTCTGGTCACTCTCCCTCTCTCTGGTCACTCTCCCTCTCTCTGGTCTGTCTCTCTCTCTGGTCTGTCTGTCTCTCTCTCTGGTCTGTCTGTCTCTCTCTATGGTCTGTCTCTCCCTCTCTCTGGTCTGTCTCTCTCTCTGGTCTGTCTCTTCCTCTCTCTGGTCTGTCTCTTCCTCTCTCTGGTCACTCTCCCTCTCTCTGGTCTGTCTCTCTCTCTGGTCTGTCTCTCTCTCTGGTCTGTCTCTCTCTCTGGTCTGTCTCTCTCTCTGGTCTGTGTCTCTCTGGTCTGTCTCTCTCTCTGGTCACTCTCCCTCTCTCTGGTCTGTCTCTCTCTCTGGTCTGTCTCTCCCTCTCTCTGGTCTGTCTCTCCCTCTTGTTGGTCTCACTCTCTCTTTTTGGTCTCTCTCTTAGATTAGACACTTTTTAGACACACTAAAAACTAACCTGTTTGGATGAGAATACTTTTTCGATGACTCTCGGCTCTTGAAGTAGCTTTATTCCCTCTTGGAAGCAGAGAGCGGGGAAGCAGAACCAGTAATAAAAATGATACTTCTTCAAATCCTGGAGAAATACATGATTAACAGGAAACCGAAAACTATTGGAATAATACAAGTAGTTTTACATACTGCAAAAGTGAGGAGGATAAATCTGCACAGAATGGATGGGTCGGTTACTGCAGCTCCAGACTGGATGGCATCCCATATCTAGAAAATATTAAACATTTGTTGAAATTGAGGTAGAATTTGTATTTTATAATTGTAATGCTAGCACCACTGCTACCTCGTTAGCTTGCTTTTCCAACATGGCTTTCTTATCGGTGGCTTTGAAAGCGTCCAAGGTGTTTGTGTTGTACAGGGTTCCTGAGGCTGAGCAGCAGCGAGCGGGAGTGGGTCCATCACTGTGGGGGAGATCAATTAACGGTGTGTTTGCATTTTAATCCTTGCGCTATCCTTGGGTCAAATTGACCCACCACAGTGATTTAAAGAATACCCTAAATATCATTTTTTTAGCTAAATTTGAATGATTTTTCATAATTTTAGACACTAATTTAGGGTATTTATCTTCTAATTTTAATCATCTGTGGTGGATAACTGGTCTCAACTGGTTTGCCATCTCTTCTGGTCCCTCTCTCTGGTAGTATCTTGTAACTACTCCAAAGTACATATGGAAAACCATGTTTAAACAATGTTAATAGCAATATTTTATGTGCTGGTTTGTTTGCATTTCATAACTAAAACTTGAGAGAAAACACAAATCTAGAGTTATATTTTCACTTTAGGCCTATATTATTTACAAACGGATTGAATACTCTGCTGTTCTCAATACTTCAAGTTGCATTAACGTGCTGATATAAATGATAGGAAACATGCTTGTAATACTGCAAATACTACAAAAGGTAGAAGTACCAAAAGTAATATTATGACTCATCATTATGAAGATCATACAGCTGAAAGAACTGCTGTGACCCCTTCATTACACTATTGCACCCCTATTAGATTATTACAGACTTATTACACTATTATAGTGTGATAAATATAAAAGACACACATAGATACAGTACAGACCAAAGGTTTGGACACACCTTCTCATTCAAAGAGTTTTTTATTTTCATGATTATTCAAATTGTAGCTTCACACTGAAGACATCAAAACTATGAATTAACTCATGTGGAATTATGTACGTACTAAAAAAAAGGATGAAACAACTGAAAATATGTCTTATATTCTAGGTTCTTCAAAGTAGCACTTTTTGCTCTGATTACTGCTTCGCACACTCTTGGCATTCTCTTGATGAGCTTCAAGCGGTCGTGACCTGAAATGGTCTTCCGACAGTCTTGAAGGAGTTCCCAGAGATGCTTGTTGGCCCTTTCGCCTTCACTCTGTGGTCCAGCTCACTCCAAAACTATCTGGATTGGGTCCAGGTCTGGTGACTGGAGGCCCATCACTCTCCTTATTGGTCAAACAGTTCTTACACAGCCTGGGTGTGAATCTACAGTCAATAGTCATGAAAAGAAAGCAAACTCATTGAATGAGAAAGTGTGTCCAAACTTTTGGTCTGTACTGTATGTATATGGAAAAATTAACCACATGTTGACATACAGACTTTATATTGATCATATATTGTAAAATTTCAAATGATAGAAAGACTATAAATAAATGTGTATATCAACAACATAAAACCCTCTATTTTGGCATATATGAAAGATGTGCAAAAGGTGCCACTTTCATGAGTAAATCATACGAACATTAAACAAAAGTCATATAAAATTTTATCTGACACACTGTACGTATATGTTTTATGTGCAACTTTTCCAAACGGGCACAACAAGATTCTGATTATAAAACAAAAATTATAGTGTAACAAAAATTAAATAAATATACATTTGAAAGCTTACACATCAAAAGCACTGAACTCCAGAGTGAGTCGAGTCGGTAGGCCCACGGGATCACCTGCGGAGAAAACATAGAATATTACTCCCATCAATACAGAGAGACTACTATGGGTGCATACAGTATATTATCCTCAGATCTATAAATCAATCAATCAATCAATCAATCTTTATTTATAGGGCGCTTTTCCTGCACAGGGCAACACAAAGCGCCTCACAGTCCACACCACACAATGCACAAATCATCACCATTAAAATACAATTAAAAACACATATGTAATTAAAAAGCATTAACATCACATAAGTAATTTAAAAACATAAGAATCACACAAGTAATTAAAAACAATAAAATAGTTAAAAACACAAAAAGTTACAACAATAACCCTGTCATTAACATTATCCACATGAATATTAAAATCGCCTATAATGACTAAACCATCAAAATCTGTGCACACAACTGAAAGCAACTCAGTGAAATGATCAGTGAAACTATGGCATGACTGTGGCGGCTTGTACACAACAATAATAAGAATGGAAGAAGATTTCTTTTGTTCTATTTTAAAAGAAACATACTCAAATGATGAAAATTTCCCAAGAGACACTCTATGGGAGACAATACGATCTTTAAAAACTGCTGCTATGCCCCCCCCCCTTTTATTTTCTCGTGTTTCATATTCAAATTTGAAATTTGGTGGTGAGGCTTCTATTAAAACTGCATCTCCTGTATTATGGTCAAGCCATGTTTCAGTCATAAACATAAAATCAAGATCATACGAACAGATAAAATTATTAATTAAAAATGATTTGTTGCATAGTGATCTGACATTAAGTAGAGCAAGGTTAAAATTAATATCAGTGTCAGTGGGTTTAGTTGATTGATTACAAAGAACTGGAATTAGATTTCCAGAGTTGGACCGTCTAACTGCTGTCCTTCTTTTAAATTTGTGTTTATTCAAGTTAAAACACATTTCTGAGCTGGTGCGAGGAACACACACAGTCTCTATTGGTTTAAAAAGTGAGCTCTGTTGTACTTTGTTAAGTTCCAGATGCATAACTGAGTCAGCACAGTTCAGTGGCAGGACTGTCGTTACACTGCCAGACGGACAGGGGTCAGTGTTTGCACCACAGTACTCACCCGGTGCTGGTAAGGAGGAGGAGGAGGGGGGTGGTGGGGGCCGAGAAGCCTCAGATGTAAACAGTCACGCCCCCCTCGGGGAGCACTGAACAACATGGCGTAGGAAGTCCGTCAACAAACTGGTGCCGTATTTGTTCGGGTGCAGACCATCTGGACGATAGGCCACGTGACGCTTCCAGAACAGGCCAAAGTTGTTCACAAAAATAAAGTTAAAAGTGCTGCATGTAGACTGGAGCCACATGTTGAGCGCCACAACGCGACTGTAGAGGCAGTCACCCCGGTTTACAGTCGGGACTGGACCAGAAATAAAAACGGATAACCCGGAGGACTGGAGAAGGCGGAACAGATCCATAAAGTGCTTCTTTGTGACCTCTGACTGCTGCAGCTTCATATCATTTATACCCACATGCACGATTACCTTGGATATGGTATCGGGCAGGGAGTGAAGCAGAGGAGGGAGACGGATGAGCAGATCTGGGACAGTAGCTCCGGTAATGCAGTGAGTGACCGCGTTAAAAAAGCGGACGTGCCTCACGATGGAATCTCCAACAATCAAAGTAGTCGGGGCGAAGAGTGGACGCGGCCGCGGAGAGGGCGCTCGGTGTCCATGGTCAGAACCAGCGGGCTCATCCAGGGATGGGTCCGAACCAGGGCGCTGCTGAACACATGGAGAGGAGTGGGGGTGTTGATTCCCAGCTCCGGGCAACCCACGCTGTGTGCACGGAGACGCTGGAGCAGCGAGAGGAGCAGGCTCGGGTCGCTGCTGCTGACCCGGTGAAGGTAAGGGGTGGTGATGCACTGGGGTCAGAGAAGGGGAATGACCACTCTTTCGTCTGAGGACAGCTTCCTTTAAGAGTGTCTTTCTCGCAGTGGACCTGGATCCACGGACAGCAGTAGAGTTTGCTGCAGAGTCCAGGGGTTCTGCTGAGGGGGCTGGGATGTCAGCGGAGAGGGCTGCATAGCGGTTTGAAAGGCTCAGGACATGGGCCACGGCGCTGGATGGCTCCTCGCAGTCCGCAGGCTCTTTATTCCGAACCGGGCACTTAGGTGTAGAACAAGAGGGCCCAGAGCTGACAGATCTCTCCCACACGACAGTGTCACAGTATGCAGCGCTCAGTGACATAAGCCGTGAGTGCTGCCCGCCAGCGACATCAAAAAGTTTGGACATGAGTGACTGTTTATCCTGCAGCTCTGCAGTGAGGCGAAGGACTTCTTTACGGAGGTCTGCAATAGTGGCACGGTCCCTCTCACGAAGCTCCAATGTGAGGCGACTAATGTCGTTCGTGGTCATTGCAGTGTCACTTTCCATGTCTGTGGTGCGCTCGTGGTAGCCTCCGAGCTAGCGCGTTTCGATTGGGTCTTTGTGTTAAAAGACGTGATGCTCTGGAACCATTGCATTTAAGGTAATAAAACACTAGAGTGTACAAAAGACACTAATACACCGTAAAAACGTGTTTAAAAGGCTTTAAAAGGCTTAAAAGGGTAAACAGAGCAGAGACGTCAAAACGCGTGCTCACTCCACGCACTGTAAAGACAGTGAACTTATAGACACATGATTAAGCATAAACACTTGTACCTGTGCTTCCTGTTCTATTCACTTAAATCGAGTCCATCATGTTTAAATATTGTCCAACATTTAAAGTTGCCCCTCCTACATTTCTTACACATAAAACGACCAGAATGACAAAAAACAGGAAATTCAGAGCTGCTGCTATGAAGAAAGAAAACAGTGAAAATAGGTTTTGTAAGTTCTGTAGTTAGGCCTAAATGGAAAAGTTGCACATGAAACATATAAAAACGTCACATCACATTTTATCTGACTTTTGAATTATGTGTTTTATGATTTTCTCCTGATGTTTCAATGATTATCACCTGAAAGTGGCACATTTTGTACATCTTTCATATATGGCAAAGACAAACCATACAATTTTTTCTACAAGGTTTTCCATATACAATTTGATATAAAAAATATTACTATGAACTTTGTGTTGGATTTGACTGTCAAAGCATCATCTATGATATCCAAACAAATCTTATATTCTTTTTATAATATGGTTAAACATTGTTTCCATGTATAATTTGGAGTATACAATATTTCTGGAATTTGTATGTTGTTTGACTGTCTTATGTGCAATTTATACATTTCAAGCAAGTCCTATAAAACTTTTACAAAATATGTGTACATCTTTTTCATCTGGGGGGTTAGAGACACCAGAAAGAGACTAGAGAGGGAGACCAAATAGAGATCAGAGAGAAAGAGACATGAGAGAGCAGAGAAAGACCAGAGAGGGAGACCAGAGAGAGACAGGCGGAGACTAATGAGACCTGAGGGATGGAGACAGACTGGACCCACCGTTGTAGTAGAACCCTTTGATGGTCTTGGGGCTCTCGTCCAGTCTGTATTCGTTCAACTTCTTCTGGGTCAGCTGGTGCCAGAAGCCGGCCTCCAGGGCACTACTGAAGGGAGCAAACTGCAGCTTCAGCTCAGCTCCTGATGCTCCGGCTGCTCCTGCTCCTTCTGACGCCATTGTGTCCTGTCAAAACGACCTCTGAATCTTACAAGACCTATAACAGACATATAAACTGATTGACAATTTGCACCTATATTAAAGTAATTGTCGTTATGTTGTCATTTATTAATCCATCCATCAATTCACTTCCTGAGGCGTTTCCAGGCCAGCTAAGAGACAGTCTCTCCAGGTGGGGCATGCCCAAACACCAGTGTCCAGGGCACATCCCATACTCCAAGCTGAACTCTTCACCCCATCACTAAAGGTGGAGTGGCTCAACTCTGAGCTCTTCCAGATTGACTGAGCTCAGGGAGGGACCGGCCACTCTGTGGAGGAAACTCATGTGGGCCGCTTGTCTTACCGTCTATGGTCATTGCTCAAAAACTCATGATCAGAAGTGAGGGATAGAATGTAGAGCTCTGACTGCAGACACTGCTCCCTCTTCACTATATGATATTAATGTCTGCCATGTGTATCTGTTTAGAGCTATCACAACTTTGGCCAATTGAACTACACCAATATTTAAACACTTTTTGAACCGTTCACATAAACACGTGATTTGATATTTATGACTCAGATAACTATAAAATTACAGCAACATTTAAATTTACAAAGTATGTTTAGTAAATATTCCGATGTGTAACAGTTGTCTCTCTGTTCTCAGGAGAAACATGACAGCTTCACTATAAAACTACACACACAGAGTTCACCACCAGCAGCAGCAACAATAGCACAAATACAATACCAGAGTGAGAGAAACAGAGACCAGAGAGAGAGAGAGAGACCAGAGAGAAACCTGAGAAAGACCAGAGAGAGAGACACCAGAGAGAGAGCTAGGAGAGACCTATCATTCACAATTTAAACATTTATTTTCGCTATTATCCATGTATTTTACTCACCACAACTATTACTTCCTGGTCCAGGCGATCATGTGGTCAGTAAAGCAATGCACTTTGGGATATGTAGTCCCTTGTTCAGTTTTCAACAGAAGTATGTGGTATTAAAACTACGGAGCGTGAGTCATGGAGTAGAATATAATGAACCAGAACCCGAGAATAAAGACACAAACGAGAAAGCATGAAAACACTGAGAGGAATCTGTACGCGCCGTTCCTTTTCATATCGTGTTTCCTCTAATATTATACCCTATCGTTTACAGTCTATGGTTTCTCCGATATATTCCGTGCTTTGGGGCCGGGTCTGCAGGGGGGAAAGGGGCAGACTACCTCTTGGTCAGAGTAAACAGTCTGGAGTAAAGTCCCGAGTGGTAATCAAGGTGGTAGTTTGTCTTTATTTTCAAAGCAAAGAGGAAAAAATGTCCAGCTTCCGGGTTTGATTCCGGGTTTCTGGACACGTGACGAGCGTTAGGGACCGTGAACAAAATCTAAACTGAGAGAAAACGGATACAACTTTTGGAATCTTGTACGAATCTTATTTTAGGTTTATAACGTCACTGAAATACGGATTTAGGGATGAATTTCATATTTAGTTTCAAATTTGAAAGGTGTTGAATCTACTTTACTCTACTCTACCCTACTACTCTACACTCCTCTATCCTTCTCTACATATTCTCTCCTGATTGTGTTTTCCTGGGTGTTTTCAATGTTCTAACTGTCAGTGATGGGCCAGACTTCTGCTAGGTAACCATGGTGTCAAGGAATTTCACTAAAACATAGATGATATGGGTATATTTCATGTTCAAACTCCTATTTTAAAGGTTTTTAATACTGTTGCATTAAAGATTGAATTACTTGAAACTTGGTAAATACCACTGCATCTTTTTTTATTCCGACTGTTCATGTGTTTAACTTTTGTATTATTATTGAACTTGTGTTTGTTGTATGCGTTCATGAAAAAGAGGATCTCTCAAAACTGATAAAAGACTTTTCCCCAGTTTTAAAGTTTGGTAACATTTATAACAGGGGTCTTCAACTTATACAAGCACGAACGTACCAGACTCCACCCCTTTCCTCAGAGTTTCAGGTTCCCTTTGAGAATAGAGATGGATACCCCTGGTTTCCAATATGTGCCCGATTTGTCTTGGGGCAGTAGATGTTAATTTTGTGGACTAACCCAGTGCTGATGTCTCCATAGTGTTGTAGGGGCCTGGTCAGTGTGATCAGAGACCTGCTGTACATCTGGATAAGTTTGAGTGTGAATAACTGTTGGTGGTTGGAACATGGTTGGAAGGGCTGACGGCACAGATTAGTTGCTTTGTTTTCTTTAGTTGTGGCTAAAGTTCATCACTATTGAATCAGAATCAGAATTAACAGGATGTCACAAACTAGGAAGCTGCGTTGGCTCTAGGTGCAATCAAGTTTTTAGAGTGAAATTTAAAGGCATGCTATAATATATACAAGTGCACTAAGTACAATAGACATTTACCAGTGCAGTAAAGTGACAGTGGAGACAGAAGTGGCACTAGGATAAAATGACGGTAATAAAAGAGAAGGTGATGAGTTATGAAGCGTTCATGAGTCCAACTGCAGAGGGAAACACTCTCACGGTGGAAGGTTCTGGTCCGGATGGACCGTAGCCTCCTGAGTGAGGTGCTGGTCCAGATGAACTTGCAGGTTAGTAGGCTGTATCTATATACAGTCTACTAGAACCAGGAAGTCCTCTCACATCATTCCTGGTCTGAATGGGTCTCTGCACTCTCTTCCTGTGGCTCAGAGAATAGATTATAAAGCAGCCCTGCTTGTGTACAAATCTCTCCATGGCCTTTTGAAAATATTTGCCCATAATTACTAGACTACATGCTGCTACTTTTTTGTATGTATTAGTATTGTGGTAGAGTATCCCACAGGCATAGAGCATATATCGGGAGTGGACTGGACCGTGCGTGACATCACCATAGTGTGATGTCAGAATTTAATGCGGAAGATGCCACTTTAGAAGCCTAACATTAGCTGGCTGGAGGCAGTTTCCTTATATGGGCATTTGTTCTTCTGCGTTAGCTTAGCCCCGATACAGGGGCAGACGTGTTGCTATGACGTTTGAACCAAAACTTCAACATGCACACTTCCCTATCGGGCTTCATTGAGCTATCAGGTTAGCACTGGCCATCTGCATGTACTGTAGTCTATCTTTAAAGCCATAAAAAGTGTTTTTCGGAGTTCTAACCCCAAAGTGTCTATTTTGAGCGATTGTCTGCAATAAACTGTAATAAAAGAGTAATCAATATTTCTTTTCACAGAGCAACTCCAGCTGTGAAGAGTCTGACAAACCAAAGCAGTGACTCATGGTTCTCTGTCGGAGCAGACGGAAAAACAGCAGTGAGGAATAAATGTACAGGGTTTTGTGTTTGTAATAGTTGTACTGTGTCTGACGATTTTCTCTTCAACTTAAATAACGAATCTGTTGTGGAGATCTACCTGATGACTATTTCAAGGCAAATTTATTTGTAAAGCTTAGTGCTGAACAAAGAATACATTTATGTTTTTAGTAGAAAACTCAGAAAATTATAATATTGTTCAAAAGTGAATTTCCTTCTGTAATTAAAATTAACATCCATCCATGTTCTACTGCAGTTCAGAGTCCAGGAGGAATCCCAAACAGATAACCAAGCCACCTCAACTGGCTTCTCTCTACATGGAAGAGCAGCATCTCTACTCTGAGCTCTTCCAGAGTGACTGAGCTTCTCTATCTCTAGGCCAAAGTCCATGACCAGAGGTGAGGGAGGGGACATACAACAGACCACAACAGTCTTATACAGCGCTTGTGAAATGCGCTGATAGCAAATTGACGGGGAGAGCACAGGTATATTGCAGATGAAGGTGTGGATTTATGTGTATAGGTGTGTGGTTATATTTGTGTTTGTTTGTTAATGATGTGCGTCTCCAGGCTCTGAAGCGTCTGCAGTAATCGCGTCTATGCACGTGTGGAAGATGCATATCATTAACAAACAAGCAGGCAAACTCCATCTGCAATATACCTGTGCTCTCCCAATCAATAAACATCCCAACTGTGCACCTGGAGTTTGCCTGTTCCTTCTGACCGAGGAAGACTCAGTTGACGGCCGTATCCGTTATCAGCGCATCCAGACGCTCACAGTATTTCACAGCGCTGACTGCAGGTGCTGCTCCCTCTTGACCCGTCCCAAAGGCTAGACCATCTCTGCTGCTGTGACCTGAAGTACTGTTTCTTATTATTGATTGACTGCGGAACCTTCCGCAGTCAACCATTGGTTTTGTATTTCTTTATTGATTGACTGCGGAACCTTCCGCAGTCAACCATTGGTTTTGTATTTCTTTATTCCGTCATTGATTGACTGCGGAACCTTCCGCAGTCAACCATTGGTTTTGTATTTCTTTATTCCGTCATTTTTTTTGACACGTTTCACAGCTTTCACATTTTCAACAATTTCCACAAGTTATACATCAAAACGTTCCACATGTTTGGGAGATTATTGCTATTACTTTTGGGACTTCAGCGATTTCCGGTTTTTCCGCAATCGGACAAAAATCTGCATTGAGAATTCTGCAATGCATTTTAATAGGCCCATGCATTTTAATAGGACTTCAGCTCTTTCAGACATTTCTACAGTTTCAATGATTCAACAGTTTCAAGGATTCAACAGTTTCAAGGATTTCAGCAGTTTCAAGATTTCAAGAGTTTCAAGGACTTCAACAGTTTCAAGGACTTCAGCAGTTTCAAGGACTTCAGCAGTTTCAAGGACTTCAGCAGTTTCAAGGACTTCAGTGTAATCATGCAACCTAATAGGGATTTTTCCATGTAAACCAGTATAATGCAACTTAATAGGGATTTTTCCATGTAAACCAGTATAATGCAACTTAATAGGGTTTTTTTCATGTAAACCAGTATAATGCAACTTAATAGGGTTTTTTTTCATGTAAACCAGTATAATGCAACTTAATGGGGATTTTTCCATGTAAACCAGTATAATGCAACTTAATAGGGGTTTTTACATGTAAACCAGTATAATGCAACTTAATAGGGTTTTTTTCCATGTAAACCAGTATAATGCAACTTAATAGGGTTTTTTCCATGTAAACCAGT